TTACGTCACGCTTTAGGCTATATATTTTCACGCTGGATAAAACCACTAATGCGGGAAAGAGACCATAAGTTGTTGCCAACATCAAGGAAGCAAGGTCGCCATGGTTTGACATCATGTCATTATGACATTTGCAATTAATAATTTGCTAAATGTAAACAATAAATAAAAATTTCATGCGGATAAAGCCGCACGGGAACAGCTAGTAACTAACATTGCAATATTGAATTTGAAATTTCTTTGTTTAGGAAAAAACCGTATCTAAGTATTAGACTTGCAATGTTCACAGTAGAAGTTTCAGCCGGTTTTCACCAATAACTTTGGCGGCCAATGATCCGATGCGGCTTATGTTTTATGTATGTTTACATTAAAAGAAACTTTTACATTCTTAAGTTGTATCGAGATTGCGATCTTATAACAATTTCCCTCACTCTGATGAGCCGTTAGTTATTGAGTGTTGTCATTTATCTTGTATGTTATAGAAGGAATATCCTAAAATTCACTGTATAAATGCGTAAACTTGCGTCAATTTATATCATACTAGCTGTTACTGACGACTTCGCCCGCATGAAATAAAAAAGCCTATATTACTCACTGATAAATAACCTTTCTAACGGTGAAATAATTAAAAAAAATATGCCCAGTTTCTGAATCTGTTTTTACATTCAAAAAACATTAGTATAGAAAACCTTGAAGGTTTCCTGATAGAATTTACAGTTTATAATTTAAAACATCTGATTTAGTAAAAGGGTATAAATAAGCATTGCTATGCTTACCTGTAATCGATACGTTACGGAGTGTAACACGTTACACCGCGAACATTTATGCCGTAATTCTACGTTATGTTTCCCGTGTAACACTTCGTACTGACTGCATAAGTGTTCATTATTTAACATGATATACTAAGCCCGTTACATTCAGTTTTAACTGAAGATCCGAATTGTACAGTTAAAAAATGTGCATCTTAGCACACCGTAATTGTTACATTTAAGTATTTTTAACCACGCTATATGTTGGAGTTTGTATATGTTTGTATACTGGCAGGCAACACTGTACACACTAAGGATGGTTTTTTAATATTAGAATAATATATAATTTAAATTATTAAGAATTCTTCATTTGATGAAATATAGTTAGACTTCACATCTCGACACGGAACAAGTAACATTGAAGGACTAATAAAACATTGTATAAAATATGGTTCAGATATTTTAAATATAATGATGATTAACTAGAAGAAAGTGTTTCAATAGCCCCACACCTCCAGAGCCCCGGACGGGGGAAGTAACCGTCCAACACTATAGATGCAATGATAATCTAAAGATTAGCAACGAGGCGTCTATCAGCTTTTAAACAAATGTTTTAAGTTTAATAGAAATATAAACGTTGAATTCCATTGGCAGTACGCGCGGTGAAAGTAAATTTAATATCAACAGAACGCGGTGTGTGAATTATTATTTAAACATTAATCATATCATTGGTAAATAATATCCAACAATCTCTTCAATCTCACTAACGTACCAGAGTTACTAAGATTTAGGTTACTTATACTTCATTTTTTTGTTTCTTTTATTATTATTTTTTTCTAGCTATCTATCTATTTTTTTAGCTATCTGTAAGTTATCCGTAAATAAATGAAATGAAATAAAATAAAATAAAATAAAATAAAATAAAATAAAGTTAATACATGAACTACGGTTACCGATTACACTCTAACAGTGTTACAAATAAACGCAGTATTAACTGAGGAATGAACTGAGAAAAAGCAAATATTAGTACACATTTTGTAATTGTTCAATAGTTCTCTATAATATATTTTTTAACAAATATTCTTCTAGACAAGCATTACCTTTCGGATAAAAAAAGAATTATCAAAATCGGTCCACTAGCGGCGGAGTTATACCGTAACACACATAAGAAACATACATACGAATTGAGTACCTCCTTTTGGGTAGTCGGTCAAAAATGTTAAACCAAAAACCATACTAACGAATTGTGATCCTCTTCTTTTTTGAAGTCTGTAGCAAAATGCATTTTTTTATAATTTCCAAGAAAGTATTGTTAATGCCTCATTTGAAACTTTCTGTAATCATTTTAAATATTTAAACAACTTGTACAGTAGAAAATATCAAGTACATGTAAAGAAATTCAAGTAATTACATTTATCATTTGCACTCGATGTTTACTTGTTCTTAATTACTTGTTGATAATACTTTTTCTTTATAACTTACGAGTACAGTTACTGAGCAAACAGTAATAAACGCATTATCTTTATGTCGTAATATTGATTTATTACAGACATAGTGAGGCGATAGGTACAAAGGATAAGGAATATTGACACAAACAAGAACACACAAACGAAGGACCATCCTTTGAGCAACTGGATTTAAAACCTCTACCATACTTACGGCCTGTTCCATCAAATTGTAAATTGTCTGGTAATAATTCAACGTGTAAAATATGTTATGGAAATATCGGCTTTTCTGACCGTAACGTCATTTTTAAACTATCTCAGCCTCTATCAGCCAGTGTTGGGACAGGCCCTTGATCTTACTAATATCATAAATGCAAAAGTTTAGATGGGTGGCTGTTTATTAAAGTTTTGGTTTAAACGGCTGAAGGTATCTCGAAAAGTATAAATGTAGAACACATAGGCTATTAATTAGGTTTTTTTTTAATTCACAAAGACGGAGTAGAGGATAAAGTCTAGAAGTATGGATGGATGTTGTCTACAAATCTCTCTCCTAAACGGCTTAACGAATTTTATGGACAACTTAATTTATATACTTTGTGTTTATTGGAAATTATTTGAAATTCTGCCCGAACGAAGTTGCAGGCAAAAGCTATGTTCTTATAATTCCAATAGCCGCTTTCTATTTCATTTAGTGGCTTATTTGTAATTTAAAGGACATTCAAATTCATCTTGACGTAGATTTTAAGTCGATTTCCAACAGCTTAATTAGACGTATAAAAAAAAAATTAAAGCAAACAGATACCAATATTTGATACAAATATTATCAGTGAAAATTCGTAGTATATATGTATTTGTATTATATCTATTTTCTCTTAAAACTAATACATTGTACTCGTGTTGCGGCACGTATAAGATGACGTCATCGACGCAATACGGCTTGTCACCTAGATAGCGATAAACAAACGGACAGAGCGGAGCGCCTTCACAGATATCTGATAAAATCTCTCGACATCGCGCGAAATTTGAGAGATTCGCTGAAAAGTCTGTAAAAATACACACATTGAATACTTCAATAATTCGTCTCTTTCTAACATAATATTAAATGGAAAGCGAAATCGAATCTATACTGACATTATAAAGGGGAAAGAATTGGATTTTTGCATGTATTTCATTCACGTAAAAACTACTGGGCCGATTTTAAAAATTCTTTCATCGTTAGAAAGGTTGTTTATCTGTGAATAACATAGGCTATATTTTTAATTTCACGACGAAGTCAACAGCCAGTTTACAATCTCCTAACATACATAAAATGAACGACAAAGGTTGAGAACCTCTGAACCAGCGATCGGAAACATTTCGATAAGTAAAATGCACATATCTTGTTTACTTAGCGTTAACTCACTTGTTTAAAGGAATTTCATTTAAATTAAGTCGAGATAAGAAACCGGTCGTCAGCCTAAAAGGTGTCGACTTGCGACGACTGCTGGCTAGTGAAAGTACAAGTGACAAGGTAAAGCTCCGGACATTTCCAGTGAAACTGAATATAATTCGCACTCCTTTATAGTCTGGAATGTTGTTTTGGTACAATTTTGAAGATGTTTACTCTATACTGAACTAGGTTTTGCCCGCGACTACGGACGCGCAGAATAAGAACAAGAAGAAAGATTTGCAGCATTATAACGTTTAATGATCAATGAGCGTATTTTATTATAGCATTCTCTTAATACATTTACTAAATTTTTATATTTGTATGTAATTAATGAATTCAGGAATTACTAGTTCGGTTTAAAAAATCCTTTCACTGTTAAAAAGCTATGTTATCAGTGGGTAACAGGCTATGTTTTTTATTTCCGCGCGGACGAAGTCAAGTACAAGCTAGAATTTAAATGCTTAAATTTCATCTTCTCTTATGTATATATTTAAGGATAATTAGATAAAATACTTAAACACACACAAGTAGTTAGTGTGTGTAGAACAAATGAAAGTTAACGATGTCTGATGGAACTTTAACGATATTTGTCAGACCACCCAACTGTCCGTTTGTTTTATCATTATATATGTATAGGCAATCGAGAACAAAGGAACTTCAAGTCGTGAATAACTCTTAGCAGGATAATGTCTAAAAACAAAGTAACAGTTTTTCGTTTTCATTATGATTTGTAATACTTACCATCACCAGCTCGCTACGTCACCACTGAGGGGCTCTGATCCTACCCTATTAAGGGGTGAATAAGCCATAGGTAACCACGCTGGCCAATTGCGGGTTGGACTTCACACATATTTTTAAATTTCTTCACCGATATGTGCAGGTTGCATCACGATGTTCGACGTAATACTTATAATGTCGTGAAATTAAAATTTGTCTATCCCCACCTTCTCCTCTGGTAGATTGATGGATGTATACATATCTCCAGGTTTGGCATAGATATAGAGCATAGTCTAGAAGAACAAATGGGCTACTAATTAAAAAAAAAAAAAGAAAAAAAAGGCGTATAAACTGAAACAATATTTATGTATGTAAGCCACTGAAGCGCTAGTGAAAACTCACTGGGGTTTATTTAGCGTTTATAATATAAAACTAGTTTTAAGTTGATTTTCTATTGTAAAAAGATATATGAAAAAAAAATAATATCGGGCGGACGGTGTCGCTGGCAAAAGTTAGTATAAAATATTACAAACCAAATAATAATTTAGATTTTTTTTTAAATCTTCGAGTTATTGTTAGGTTAGTTTTGTTTAGTATAGCAATTGTCGTATATTCTGTTTGTTGAACTGTCACTCTATAAATTAATATATTTTATGTTTGCAGTATAAACGCGGAGAAATGATAGCGGCGGTGAATGACTTTTTAGATGACCTGCGGTGAGTGAATGACTCAGTACGACTACGGCTTGTAGATAACCTAATTGCACTAACTACTAAATTCGTACTAACAACTAAAATAATACTAACATGCTTTTAAAAGATTGTATATAACAATATGTTTGCGACTTCGGTTTATACAAATTAGAAAGGTAGAGTCGCGTGCTCTAGCTATAGAGCGGGCACACACATTTGACTAAACTATCGCACAATTGTTGTGCGATTGTCGATTGTTTCTCATCCAATTCAACTGTTTAGTTGCACAACTAAAATTAGAATAGTATGCGAACCTCCATTTAAACGCATAGGAATCAAAGCGAAACTAAAGAGTTGTATGTGCGATAGTTTAGTAAAATGTGTGTGCCCGCTCTATAGCTAGGGCACGCGACTCTACCTTTCTAATTTGTTGCATTGCACACGCTCTTAAGAAAAATAGTAAAAACTTTATTTGACCTCTCCTTTGTATTGTAATTAACTCAAAAATCTTACGATTTATCAACATCATTACGGCTTAGTATAAAATATATTAAAAAAAAACAAAATCAACCATTATTAACGATTAAGAATAGATCATAATAAGCACAAGTTTTTAAATTTATACGAGCATTATTAATATTAGTAATAATAGTTAGTGACGTCCGCAATAGTATCGTATTCTTCTATTGTGTGTAATTCGCGTCATTAGTAGGCTTTAGGAGCGCTATACATCCTCCAAATTCGGCCAACATACTAATAGAATTTATTGGCCCAACATTTGACAATGGCACATGAAGGTTATGCTCCAGGCGTCTATTGTCCAATATTTGTACTTTTTTTAACATGTATGTCTGTCGTGTGTATTAAACCGTTGTCAGAGATAATTTAAAATTATTTTGTAGCGGTTTTTACATATGTTTGAAAAAATTTAGCCGCTGGTCTCTGTATTCGACTACAGATCCTCTAGGATCCCTCATTTGAATACTTTGAAGGGTTTAGTTTTAAAAATACAGTTAAAATGCGATAATCGTAATCATTTACAACTGTTATCACATCAGGAATAAATAGTACAATTACGAGTTTTTATAATAGTACAACGTTAGTGTTGGTTTACACTGCCGGAAACGAACACACAAATGTATTGTGGTCTCTATTTATTCAAATTGAATGAAAGAGATCGAATCATGTTAAACCTATATGTGTTTCGACATTGGAAACCGAGAATTAAAATTCTTTCACTAGATTATCTATGTCTATACTCTATACTACTCTATACTATTATAATAAAGCTTAAACACACACTTCTTTGTTGCCTAAGATGTCAGCAATTACAGCATATTTTTAAATATTTTTTTTTTAATAAAAAGGCCTACACTTACGTCACGCTTTAGGCTATACGTTTTCACTCCATTAAACTTAGAGGGTAAATATTTTGGATAAAAGCGCTAATGTGGGAAAGAGACCATAAGTTGCTGCCAACATCAAGAAAGCAAGGTTGCCATGGTTTGTCATCATGCCTATTGACATTTGTAATTGATAATTTAACACATGTAAACGATATAATAAAATTTTCATAATATTACCCGGATGAAGTCGCACGGGAACAGCTAGTTTAAAATAATCATTACCGGAAATATCAATATTAATACAACGATAAAGAAATTCTTTAATCGTAAATATTTTACGATTGTTCTATCAATTCTACAAACTTTTATCAATTCCGGCGTCGCGTCTAAATTATTAATACCCTTAGTCATTTTGCGGTTAACAGCGTGACTAAACACGATACACACCTTTCGACTAAACTATCGCACCAGTGTGCGATTGTCGATTGTTTCATAGCCAATTCAGCTGTTTTGCACAACTAAAATCGAATAGTGTGTGCCTTCATAAGCTCATAAAAATCAATGCGAGACGAAACAGTTGTGCGATAGTGAAGTCAAACGTGTGCGCACCCTCTCTTAGTAACCGCATGAATCATGACACATTGTTATTGAATACATAATTCAACATACAATGTCTAAAAAAAGAACAAAACATACTTTTAAGCGAGTTATCTTACTTCTTACTAATATTATAAATGTAAAAGTTTACATGGATGGATGTTTGTTAGAGTTTGTAGCCTGAACGGCTGAACGGATTTCGATGAAATTTGGAATAGACGTAGAGGATAATCTAGAAGAACACATAGGCTACTTTTTTTTTATCCCGCGCAAACGGAGTCGTGGGCGAAAGCTAGTAAAATATAATTTCTTATACAAATTTAAGAATTTTATCTACTTCGTGGTATAAAAACTAAGACTGTTTGTTTGTGAATACATTACGTAATTATGTACACAGTACAGTAACACGTAGTTCAAAACTCGTTACATAAAAGACAGCGCACCTTGAACCTGTTCTCATTATCCTATTGTTTACTTTGCTACCATATTTTCCTAGTTACTGAAATAGACCAATAAAAAAAAATAACTTAAAACCAGTAACAATTTCACGTAACTTGTGAAATTTGACTTACGATGACGTCATAATTATGTCAAAAGAGGCCTATATCACGATCCAAAACCTGCTAATTGATGATGTTTGCATAACCATAGAGAATATCGTGTCAGTACTAAAGCATAGACCGTATAGAGTTGGTGTTTTATAACTACAAAGTGTTGTTTTATGGCTAGAAGTCTAGAAGAGTTGATTATTTTAAAAAGAACAGCTTTAAGATATCTCCTAGCGAGGGAATCTCGTCTCCTAGCTTTAGGGAAGAAGCCGGTTAATAAAAAGATATCGAATTTCGTGCGTAATCATGAAAGTAACGTGTGGACGGATTTTTTAGATACTTTCAATGAAGATTTAACGAGAAATTTAAATATTTATCAATTGAAATTCAATGACGAAGGCAGTCTGCGCAGTTCGGAGAGAAAGTGTCTATGTTCCAGCCGTGTTGACGTTTTTGCCAATCGAAAAATACGATTCCGGTAAGAAATGTATCAAATAATAATTTTAACAATAAAAAAAAATAATTGTTAAGTTTTTTAATCTTTAAAACTTCCGTGGAAATAAACATTTTTTGATTTCGGTGTGTTAGGTGTGGAAACGCAGACGGTTACCATACTAATATTATAAATGCGAAAGTTTAGATGGATGGATGTTTGTTAGACTTTGTAGCCTAAACGGCTGAACGGATTTAGATGAAATTTGGTATAGATCTAGATGATAGTCTGGAAGAACACATAGGCTACATACTTTTGTTTTTTTTATTCCACGCGAACGGTGTCGAGGGCTAAAGCTTATATGTCTATAATTTGTTGAAATAATTTGAACTTATTAAATTACTTTAAGGCAACTGTAGTTAATACATATTTATATGATATTTCAAGTCAATTCTCAATAAAGTAAAGAACTTAAATAGTTTAAAATAACCTAAACTTAGCATTAACGTGTGAATAGAGTGGCGCAGAGAGTCGTGAGAGACAAAACCACTTATTTGGTATTCAGCTCGCAACAATATTAGATCAAGTTTAGTATGCGACTAGTTTAATTCAAATTTTAAAACTTCTTGGTATTAAAACAGTGATTTGAACCATTTTGAAAAACTTAAGATGTTTAAAAGCAAACTATTATTGACGATACCAGAATGAAAACTAAATAAACATTTAAAAACATCGATAGTAAGATTTTTATTATAATAAACATCTTCACATGTGAAACTGATAAATAAATTTATTTGAAAAAATTTTTTTCGATAATCTTATTGTGAAGTAGAAATGATACCGTTATCTACAACTGTATCGAAGAAAATTAATTCTGTCCGTTTGTCGCAAAGATATTCTACAATATAGTTACTTATTTTTATATACTTTTATACATTGATTTGCCTGTTTTTTAAACTTAAAATTAACATACTAAAGATATTTAAATATGCAACATTAAAATAATAAATAAAATTAATAAATTTACTTCAAAGATAAATCGATTGACTAAATTTCCATAGATTTACGTATTATTACTACATTATTATTTTTTTTTATTCATAAAACAATTCCTTCAAAGTTTTTTTTTTATAATTTCGATTGTCAATTTTTTCCAACGACATTATAACAAATGTATTGCGAAACGTCTTGTATCGTGTTATGTTATCAGTGATAAGAGTGGCACTTGAGTAGTGTGTCTCTGAGTGTGGTAGTTCTCACACGTGCAGCGGTGGTACTGGGACTGGGACTGGGTTTGGGATTGGACAGGGTAACGGTGAGTAAATCCTTCTTAGAACCAAAGATCAATGTTTTTACAAAACCATACTAATATTAATAAAATAAAGTATGAAAAAAACCATCGCTAAGCTACGGTTGTGAAACTCTGTTAACGTAACTTTAAATCCATTTACTTTGGTTTAAAATAAAAAAAATTATACGTTTGCTTAAATATTTATCATAATAAACTTACCTTGGAAGTTAACCATATTATCAAATAAACCATACAATTTGGCACGAAAATTGCTTCCTTTTCCCGACCGTATATCTAGAAATATAAAAGAATTCAAGAATTGACCTAAAAATGCTTACTTATGTAACATTTTGGCACGAGATAGGAATTTTATTACCCAAGAGAATGTGCTTTTAAGTTTCCTGTTACTTTAACTTATTCGGGACTTAAAACTTGATAACTTGATGTAGAGAAATATTTTTTGATAAACATAGAGATAGTAATAGTCATGTGATAATATCGATAATGTCCCGATGTGCTAGGCCTAGTGATTGACAAGAAAAGATAATAGTAAAATCGATTTATAGAATTAAAAAAAAATATGTACATTTTATCAAATGAAGATAATAACTAACATTCCAATTAAAGATTAAATTTGTCAGTCACTTGGAGTTTTGTAAATTTTCAATTTTGTAAATTTTTAAACTTGACAAGTTGACTAGTTTTCGCACGCGACTCCGTCCGCGTGGTATTAATGAAAACAAAAGAAAGTAGCCTATGTGTTCTACCAGACTATCCTCTACATCTATGCCAAATTTCATCCTGTTCCGTTCAGCCGTTTAGGCTACAAACTCTAACAAACATCCATCCATCTAAACTTTCGCATTTATAATATTAGTAAGTATAATTATTGAGAATATTTAACTAAGGGCGTGTCTTAGCGTTTATAACGACTGTGAGTAGCAGATACGTGTAAACGTCGACGCTTAGTTGCAAGTATTATGACTCTGTGTAGTGTTCGTTTGAATACGCTACGTTACGCAAGTAACCGCCGCTTATCGTAATTTCACGCCGTATTTATTAATATGCACACAAATGCGTACAAAAGCCTTTGATACTGTATTTTAACAAGTTATAACAAAGTAATGTTCACTGAAAAAGATTTCGGTATTAAAAAGTTAGCACATTATTATGTTACTTTAAAACTTCTAGATACATTTGTTATCTACATTTCTTATCGCATCTTCACTCTATCTTCGTTTCGGATAACTAAGTACTATCGGTTGGTTGGTAACATTTTCGTACTAAACAAGTCTATAAGTTTGGGTGTTATTGTAAAATAAAATTGTTGACTTCTTCGTTGTTCCAGTGGCGGTAGAATGACTGATGCACCTATAGTGAGGGTGGCGCAGGGCGCGCTGCAGGGCCGCGTCGCCAACGCGCCCTCCGGGAAAGCCTACTACAGCTTCCAGGGCATACCTTACGCGAAACCACCCCTAGGCTCACTCAGGTTTAAAGTAAGTACACTATTAGTTATAAAACATTCAATATTTCGATAGTTTTTGTTATAATACGTATAGAAAAAAGTAATTGTAAAAAAGTGGGAATTTCCGTTCAAATAAAGAGATTTTCAATCTTCGTTATGGTTAAAACTATTATAATTATATGATTATTGTAGTATAGATAAACTAGATGAGATTGTGTGGACATCCCAACATACGGCCGAGTACAACTCACACGATAGGGATTACATAATAAAGATGTTCCGAGTGATGACTTTATCATCGCACTGCGGTATAGAGATGTTTGCTGAGACACGCCGCTATCGCCGTTTACACAAACTTAGCAGAATATTGTCGTTAGAGTTGTCAGCTATAGCAAATAACTCAACAATCAACTAAATTTCTTTTTGGATCTTCCTGAAGACTCAAGTGATCGTAAATTTTGCAATAAGAAGCTAACACCAGTACAAGTATTAAGTATTTTCAGATCTGTGGGTTTGCACAATCAACTAAAGTTGCATGTTCTAAATTAGTGTTCTTCTGTTCCCAGGCGCCGCAGCCCCCGGAGCCGTGGGAGGATGTCCGCGATGCCACCGCGGAGGGCAACGTAAGCGCCCAAGTGGACCACATGGCAAACAAGCAGTACATCGGTGACGAGAACTGTCTCTTCCTTAATGTGTACACGCCCAGCATCGAGGGCTCATCTCTCCCCGTCATGGTGTTCATACACGGCGGCGGCTTCTCCTTCGGCTCCGGCAACACCGACATGTATGGCCCCGCCTACCTGGTGGAGAAGGACGTCGTCGTGGTCACCGTCAACTACAGGCTGGGCCCGCTCGGCTTCCTCAGCCTGCACACCCCCGCCGTGCCCGGCAACGCCGGCCTCAAGGACATGGCGCAGGCGCTGCGCTGGCTGCGGGACAACGTGCACAGCTTCGGTGGCGACCCCGCCAACCTCACCGTGTTCGGCGAGAGCGCGGGCGGCGTCGCCACCTCGCTGCTCACCGCCAGCCCTCTCACCAGGAACCTCATCAGCAAAGCCATCATCCAGTCGGGAACCGCGCTCAACAGCTGGGCTTTCCAAAACGACCCACTGCACAACGCGCGGCAGCTGGCGCGCTCGCTCGGCTGCGACGCGGAGGACGTCGAAGGTATCCTCGAGTTCCTTTCCACGACGCCCGTCAAGGACCTCGTGGAGGCGGCCTCGCAGACCACCGAGGAGGACTTCATCCAGAGAGGAGCGATCACGTTCGCGCCGGTCGTGGAGCGCGAGTTCCCCGGCGTGGAGGCGGCGCTTTCGGAGTCCTTCCTCGACGTGCTGACGTCGGGGCGCGTGGCGCAGGTGCCCGTCATGATCGGCAGCACGGCGCTGGAGTTCACGCAGGAGCGGCGCGCGGAGGAGCTGCAGGAGTACCTGCCGGGCGCGCTGGGGCTGGCGCGCGGCTCGGCGGAGGCGGCGGCGGCGGCGCAGCGCCTGCAGCAGCTGTACCTGAGCGGCGAGGAGCGCCTGGGCCGCGCGCAGCTGCTCTCGGACGTCCTCATCAACGTGGACACGCACAGATACGTGCAGTACCTGCTCAAGGCGACCAACCAGCCCATATACTATTACAAATTCGATTACGTCGGTGAATTGAATCTGTCGAAGAAATTGTATCCAAATCTGGAGGAGGAGCTGAAGCAGGCGCTGCACGCGGACGAGCTGAGCTACCTGTTCAGGATGGAGCTGCTGCAGGACGTGGAGCCCACGATGCAGGACATCAAGATACGAGAGAGGATGGTCAGGCTCTGGACGAACTTCGCTAAAGTCGGGTGAGTTTGAAAAATTGTATGTTTGAAAACTTCGCCTGATGTTTTTCTCCATACTGTCGCTAACGTGAGTTTATTTGTAAAACACATACAAGTAGCACATTCGTAGTATCATCAATCTATTTAAAAAAAAAACATTTCTTTCTACTCTTGCACAGTATCACGTAAACACAAGTCATATTTTAATCTGAACTTCCTGAAAACTAAATTCACAAAATCCAAACGAGTAAATAACATTTATTTATCTGAGATAATTCTGTCCGCAGCAACCCCACTCCGGACGAGAACCACTACCTGACTGTGCGGTGGCAGCCGGTGTCCGGCGAGGACCTGCACTGCTTGCGGCTGGCCTCAGAGCTGGCCCTCATCACCAGCCCCGACGCAGACAGGATGGACTTCTGGGACGACCTCTACAGCAAGCACTTCAAGATCTGGAACTTGCCCGAGCAGACCACTCTGCCCTCGACCATAGAGATCGTCAGCTACGTGCAGCACAGCTCCGGCTCCATCGTCGAGGAGACCACGGAGACCCTCGTGCAGACCACCGTACAGGAGACACAGCAACTAGAAATTACCACCCCAGAACCTGAAGTCATTCCCGAACCTGTACCGGAATTACCTTCCGTCCCGGAGCCCGTTCCTGTCGGCCAGAGCGTGGTGGACGCGCCACTAAATGGTGTTAAAGAGAGCCAAGTGAACGGCAACCACGACAAGAAGCCGCGGACTTCAAATGAGATCAAGATGGTGCAGAACAGCAATGGCAACCCCAAGGACGTCATCCGCGCCAACGACCCGCCAGAAGATGACCTGCCCAAGAACATCGGCGTCAACAAGTTTGTTAACTTCTTCGAGTCGCTCGGCGGCAAGAAGTGAGCGACAACCGCTTTAGTAACAGTATTCAAAACATTCCTTTTGAATTTTTAGTGGTTTTTTCGGCAAAAAACTCTTCGTTATAAATGAACTGTTCTAGTGCCAACATCACAAACCTAATTTGTATAAAATTAATTTAATCAGACCGCGTGACTAAATTATTTAATTAAACTGTATAAAATTAAAAAAAAATAGTGATGTTTAGTGCCTTATTATTTTATTGCAATTATTTTTATGCTATATTATGAATAGACATTTGATTATTTTACTGATGACGGGAAAATGTGTAGCGATCAAAGATTTAAATACATATATATTAATAAAAAAAACAATTCGTTTTTTGCTCAGAATTATGTATTTAAATGTTTGGTCGTATGTTGAAGTGCGGCAGCAGCCAGTCAGGTCGGCCGCACTGTACCTAGTTGTAACGATTACTGCAAACATGTAACTGCTTAGTCAATAATGAGAATATGTGTATTTTTATATAATTATAATGAACCAGAAATAAATCATGTAAAATATTTCATATATCTTTTATTTTTTCCTTATCCAGAACAGTCTAGAATAGCATTTCGACGTTTCGTCTAATGAATGTGGCACGGAGGCCTAATTTTTGTCCTTTCCCTTCCTTTTGTTATAAGGACTTTTGACACACTTGTAACTTGGTTGTTGTTAAAAAACAGAAGAATGAAAGAACATCGTTAGATATACCAGAAATCGTTATGTTTCCAAAATATGTTATACATAGCAGTTTATAAATTTGACGTAGTTGAAATCTTATATTTTTTGGACGGTGTTCAATCATAATTACAATGCTATAAACTTGAAATTTAGAGTTTATTCAGCAGTTAGAAAATGAAAAATCTTTTGTACGGCTGAAAGGATCTCGATGTTAGGCATAGGTGTAGAGGACAGTCTGGAAGAACACATAGGCTATTTACTCGTTTTTTTAATTCCACGCGAACGGAGTCGCGGACGAAAGCTAGTATTAAATAATTCGTTAGTGGTTGTAAGTTTAGCATTGTACAGTTTTAACGTGAGGTGAGAGGGATAATTGACAGAGGGTTGGCGCATACATTTAGTTGAGTGATAATGGTGCTGTGTATTAAATCCATAATCCCTTTCTTATGTCAGTTATATTGATCAAACCTGTGTACCGACACAAAATCCATCAGCATGTTTATACACTTGCTGTTTCTTGCGACTTCGCCCCCGTGAATTAAAAAAAAACAAAAAACGTTACTGATAAAGTAGCTTTTTAATGGTGAAAAAATTTCAGTCTCGGATTTGAAATCGGCCAAGTAGTTTTTGAGTTTTTAGAATAGGTACAAAAAAGTACAAATCTTTCCTCTTCATAATATTAGTATAGATAAAGTTATTGGACAATACCGGTATAACTTTACTATTAACCATCCTGTACCAAGTTATGTTGCTCAAGTTAGTTTCCGACAACTTTAGTGTTACTTACGTAAATATGTTTTCACGTTGAAATAACCTTACCTACCTCGCCTCCATCTTCATTGCTTTTTTTTACCGACTTCCCAAAAGAAGGAGGTATTCAATTCGTCTGTATGTTTTTTTTTATATTTAACATCTTGCTGCTGAAAGAAAGAAACCTTACGGCCGAGGCCGTTTTTCGACGTTTTCGTTCTGTCCTTGTCCTCGAAACTTTGATATATTTTTTTTTATTTTGGCGGTTGCAATATTTTTTTTTAAAATAGCCATTTTTTTTTACAAAAAACAAACTCAAATCACAAGCCACTTTTTTCTTGTGTTACAATTTCTATTTCTTTCATTTAAAACGAGCAACCGCCATTTAAAAATATGCACTGACTCCTTCAAAAAATATCTTTTACAACCGCATTTCGCTTCTATTTTTTTTAAGCGGTCCAACGTTTTTTTTTTAAACCTTTTTATACAAGATTTACATCTAGGTCAGTAACACATCAAGCTAATTATCACTAAACATGTACAAACTCCTTAACTATAAAAAAATCAAATTTTATACATAACGGGTCTTACATAAAAACTAGCTTCACTTTTACAATAATCCACAAAACAACATTATTTGAATCGAAAGCTTGGCCTGTTTCAATGCATGACATCGACCCATCTTAACAATATTAAAAATAAAATAAAACAACTATAATATAGAATATCTTGGACAAACATGACAATAAAATGTAAAACAAAGAAATTATCTTGTATAGAAAAAGACCTCTTCACATGTGCGTATTATTTCAAAGTATTGAAACAGCCAGCGCTGAACACTGACAAATACTGATCGTATTTCTAACAGTTTTAACTGAAGTCGGACTGTTCAGTAATAACTGAATTCAAACTGTTCAGTTTTTACTGAACTTTCGAAGTGTTCAATCGAAAATTTCAAAGTGCTGTTTTATCTGAAGGACTGTTCAGTTAAAACTGTCAGAATAGAGTTTTTATATCGGGCTTCATGTGAGTAGGTCTTATCCATATTTCAATATTATTTAAGCACGCACACAATATGAAATTACAAGTATGAAAAATTACAAATTTCTTGAAACATGGGGATAAATAAGTTCTCATAATGCAGTAAAAACAACTAAATTTCAAATTTAAATGTTAATTTAAACGATATCTTGAAATATACGAATGATAAAAGTAATTCAAATTATCTAAATATTAATGTTTCTCTTTTCGTGTTATTGAAAACTTATTTATTTTGCTTCTTTATTATTTACATATAAAGTAAATGACATTTATATTTACGATTATAAAAATCGAATCAAAACGCTTTATAACTAGAATTTGCATTATTTCTTGCCAAAAATGTATTTATAATTTTGTACAATATAAAGTAGGTTTACACACTTCATTAAAAGCCTTACAAAGTATTCAACAAATTATACTGATTCCATTATTTTATTTTCCGTAACTTCAATATTACGAATAGTTTCTGCATTTTCTACATACATTGTTATGTATATATTTTGGTTAAATTTAGTTGTAAATCAAATCCAGATTTATTTGGTATAAAAATTGATTTAGCAGTCGTTTTAAGGTTTTTCAAACATATACATCTGAAAAGAAAACAACACAATGGAAATTATATAAACATATATCGACAAACAAAATTTATGTTAATTCGTAAAATTAAATATACGTTAAAAGTAATATTTTTGCTTCTAAACGCTTTCAGATTTCATGAGAAAAAAAGCTTTTTCAAGAAATTAGTCATTGCTCTATTTTCGTTTCACGTAACACGCGGTCGGGATTCGAACCTACCCTAAGTTGTTTGCCAACCATTGAACTATTTCTAAGTTTAAGTGCATTCTAAACTTGTAAAGGGTAAGTTATCTAAGTCAAATCAGTCGTATATCTAAAGTTATGATCAAATAACGAACGCCTCTTATATATTTGTACTTTTCAAGGTTCAAACAAGTCTTAAACCAGTTGGACAGAAATCTCACTCGTTTACCGACATTATTCACTAAAGCACTAGAATATTAAGATAAAAAGTATATTAGAAAATTTGCGATGCTAGTTTTCGCCCATTAGTCGAAATTGGACTTATATACATGTAGCTTCTGCATTTTATCTACACATTTGACACAAATTAAAGTTTCTTGTTAATTACGCGACTTACTTAAAAAGATGTACCTTTTCGCTAGACGTAATAATTACAATTCCTATACGACTCATGACATATTTTTGTTAGGGTCCATTCACACAAACCGGAATTTAAAGCAGAGCAGAATTTAACTTTAGTTTTTAAATAAAATTGATATTTACACTATCATAACAAGGTTTCAGTTTACATTTCTTTTTTACGTTTTTCTCTAGCTAAGACGTGCAAAGTTGAACTAAACATTAACTCTAACTGTATAAAGAATTTATATGCAATAAAAATCTACTCTGCTCCAGTGTGAATGGACCCTTAGTTGTATTTACTGACTCTTGTAACTACCGCACAATACTGTGTTTAGGTTTACGTAAATTTTAGTATGTATTCTATACTTTTGGATCAGCTAAAACTTTAACAAGCTTACAAATACCCGCGGTATAAAGTTAAACTTAAGAATACTGAGTATAAGCAAAAATTAGTTCAAATTTTGCTTATATTATACTTTATTCCTAAGTTTATCTTTATGTCGCGTTTATAAGGCTGATTTAATTACTTGACGCTTGTTGAGTGCAAATTTACCTTGTCTATTGACCTATAGCTGTGTAAAACTATATCAAATATTATATATAAGACTTATAAATATCAATAATATAGGTATAGTTCATTTCAAATTTCGACAACACAACAAACAAGTTGATGGTAATTTAGGTAAAATCGGTTTAAATACAAAATTAAAAGAAAAAACGCAAGTTTTCACTGCATGGAAAATTTATATAAATATCTGAGTCTAAAACAGTTTAAAATTTTACACAAATTAGGTCGAGAGTTGAAATAAACTACATCTATCTACTAAACATCGATGGCTCCTATGTAAACTATCGTATGTCAGATTTTCGCGATTTACACTTTGTTTATTTGTAAACTAACTTTATAAATACCGATATCTGTATATTGAAGATATTGTAGATTTTGTGTATCTTATAAGTTTTGTGTTGCAATTGCGTAAAAATACGATAATTACATAGAAGTCATCGGAACCTAGTTTCTTGTTTTGAATTATCACGAATACAACACGAGTTATTTTATTCGAAGGCACTTCAGCTATCGGAATTAGAGTTTGACAGTTGATTTTTGTATTTTATTTTAGAAGATTTAAGAATTAGAAAGAGATAGTGACAGATTTTCAAGTAGTAAACAAAATAAAGTTGAGATATAAATTAATATAATCAAAAATTTTAAATAGATAAATTAAATATTATACGTTAGCGGATTTTTTTTTTAATTTCAAATTTCAGTTTTATCTATTATGATGTAAAAAACTAACTTAGAAATTTTCAATTTCATGTAAATTAAATATATATAAAAAACGTTGTAAAATTGTATATATATTGCACTATATTTGTGATGTTTCTATTGTATTTCTTTTGCAGAAATAAACACAAAGCAGCGATCTCCTAATTTTAGTCCCTTTCCCTTTCCACCCTTTTCTTAAAAGGGACGTATGGGAGGGAAAAGTGGATTTGGCGGTGGAGGAGACGCGTAGGAAGGGGAAATACCCTCTTTATGTGCGTCACCTCCGTCAATTAAGGGTAAGCAACGCTGCAATTGCGGGTGTTTATGGGCAGCAGTTGCTTTCCATTTAGGTGGATTCATGTGGCCGCTTGCTCGTTTGCCAACTTATGTTATAAAAAAATCTCACTTATTCATACTTAAAATTGTGAAACAATGTATCTGTACTAGTACAGTGAAAGCCCACGGTTATATACTCAATTGAAGTACCGTTTTGACGTATTAAAGATGTTTTTGCATAAGTTATAATCGAGGAGACAAGGGAACGCCTTTACTTAAGTTATATCTTACAAATATTACATTTTACTTGATTTCATGTAGAATTTTGTACATCTATCAGTCTATATATCCGATTAAGATAACGTTGACACGCGGCGTTGCTCGATTAATTACAAATTGTTATACTAATGAGCCGACTAGACATTAGAAAAACTGACGTCAAATAAAGCTTTAAAATTTGTAATGTCAATTTAACATACGTATAATTGGAATTGTATTTTTCAAGATATATACAGATTTTGAGTTATTTAAAAAAAACAGAGAAACTATTTTTTCATAGTAAAATAATTTTAAGTTCGAAGTTCTAAAATGAAAATCGAAGAGACGTAAAAAAAAGGATTTTCCCCTACCAACGATATTTAACGTCAATTTTCCCATGTCGCCGTAAAACTGTCAATGCAACCGTAAAACTATTGATTAAGGCATTTAAAACTTCCGCGAACGCGATACCTTGTCTGTGACACGAAATTAACGATAACTTGATGACTTTACTATACTTAACCGTCATACTTAGATGCTAAGTTGCTAAGTACATAACTTAGTACATAACACCTACCATCTATTTATTGCTTCCAACGAGGTAATGTTCAGAGAACAGCGTAACTAAGCTATACTTTTTAATTATTTAGAAATTATTTACTTATTATTGTTCAGAATTAATCGATATTGTAAACAGTTTATTTCTCTAAAGGCACTTTACAAGAAATCAAACAACTTTAAAATAATCGGATTCTATATTTATATGTATTAATACGTTATTTCCGTCTTTTAAATAATATGAAACCGATAATAAACCAATTGAATCAATACATAAGCTATCATCTAATTCTGAACAATTACCTTACACATAACTACATATGTAACTAGTGACATAAGATAACATCGTAAAGGCTTCCAGCGCGACCTAAGCACCCTCCCTACAAAGCACGCGTCCCCACAACTTAACCGTAACTTATTACATCTAAAAACCCAAATACGTTAACCGCTATATATTAAAATACGTAAAAATTGTAAAGATGTTATACGAATGATTAAATTTAGTTACTCGGATTATATTGTATACATAATTGGTGTTAACAGCACATTATAATAAACCTATCAGAGTTTTCACTGACAAAACATTTACATAGAAACATGTAAGACACGTTTTGTGAACGAGAACTCGCTGTAAAATAGATATGTAGTTAAATAACAGTTATATTGCTATCGAACGCTACGCCGCTGTACAAAGCTACGTGTATATACAAGTGACGTGACGCAGCGTGACGTAGCGTGACGTAGCGTGACGCGACGTGACGCAGCGTGTCAGCGTGACGCGAGATGACGCGGGAGCCGCCGCTAGCGGCCGGCGCGGCGTCAACGTCTCCAGGAGCGATCCTCCTCTGCATCCTCCTCCTCCTCCTCGTCGAAGCGCAGCAGCGTCTCCTCGTTCTGATGCTTCTGTTACAACAAATATCGTTAGTAGTAGAATAAACATGTTCAACACTATAGAACTAAAAGAATCTTATAGTAGTTTTTGACATTGACATGGTAGAATAATTTTTAGTTACTAGTGTAAGTAAGCAAAAAATTCTTAAGTTTCAAAATTATTCTATATTGAAATATAAAGCAAACTATAGGTAACATTTTTCCACGATTTAATTTCAAAATTATGAAAATTGCGACGTTTTATGCAGTTTCCGTTCCATCATGGGGGACAAAATTTCAAGATGACTGGTTAGTTCAGAAAACTGCAAACTACTAACAGCTATATGATCCTTGTAGGTCTTTATGTGTACTTAGGAATATGTAATATGTAATGATATAACAATTACCTCGTTCTCCTTAGGTTCATCGACTGTCGTGTCTCCGTTCTGCACCTGCGGCGCGGGCTGGCTCGCTCCTATCGGCTTGTTATTCGTTACCCACGTTATCTATAACATAAATTTCTTATTAATTCTTACTATGTTATGTTAAATGTCCATTGTTACGTCTATTAGAGGTAGACTTGTCACATATAACTGGTATGGAGTCAAGAAGGTCGTAGTTAGACCGTCTTCGCCTTGGCGCGATTCGGCCTGTATGACTAGAGGGACAATGAGACCATCCATAGGTGGTGTGTAGAAGTAATAAAAATGTGATAGTGTAGATAGATGTACTACATATCTCTAGAATACCAACAGATCTTATTGAAATGTTCATATTTAGAACATAATCTAAAAGAACAGACTACTAATGATTTTTCACGTACAGCCGGAGTCGACTTTTCCATGGATACTGATTACTGGGGATAATATTATGCAGTGGTCTCCCGTTAAAGTTAAATTTGGAGAACTGACCGCCAACCATCGCTAATCGGAGAGGCATCTTAAGAAGAAGTCGGAGTCGGGATAGCAACACAGTAACATTAAAATATTAGTTAATTGAGACATTGTGTTTGCACTGACGGAGAGAGTGCGGTCGTTGTAGTGTCGCGCGCGCTGCAGCGCCAGCTCGGCCATGGCGCGCGCGCGGAACTGCAGCACCAGCTCCGGCACCGCCAGGTTCACCTCCTTGCCCGTCACCTCGCCGAATTGCTGTATCACAACATACAACACTGTACAGCTCTACCACAAATACCGCGTACACGCACGTAACTACGTAAGTACGTGAAAATCCCTAGAAATAAATAGTTAACAACGCGAATTTAATTGATAAAGATAGCAATCAAATAAAACTCCTTACTGACTGAATACAATCCTTATGTACAAAACGACTTAAAGAGTACAAGTTACCCAATCTGTTAATATAGCAACATATAGTATTTTTTTGATCATGTCATCATTTTTGTTTAAAATTAAATCTGTCCACAATCCGTTTTTGTTCCTAGTAATCTCCGAAACGGCTAGACAGATTTTAACTAGAATTTTATTGAAGATAAATTAAATTTACATGAATGTTATAGACTACTGTTTTTTCACGGACGACTTTTCATCATACCAATATTATAAATGCGAACGCTTAAATGGATGGATGTTAGAGTTTGTAGCCTAAACGGCTGAACCGATTGCGATGAAATTTGGTATAGATGTAGAGGATACTCTGGAAGAAGAAATAGTCTACATACTTTCCTTTTTTTTAATTCCACGCGGACAGAGTCGCGGGCGAAAGCTGGTTAATCAATAAAACATGAGTGTTACCGCAAAGTGCGCGAGTAGCGTGTCCAGCTCGTCAGGCTCGAAGCCGGAGACGAGCAACGCCCGCGGCCGGTGGTCGATGCTCTGGTTGACGCTGAAGGCCTTGCCCGCGCCACCAACACCACCCACACCACCCGCCCCGCCCACACCGCCCATACCGCCACGCACGAACCGGCTGCTAGTGAACCTACCACCCCTACACACACAATTATTTTAACAAACTTCATTTAACGTGTTTATTAAAAAAAACATATGACTTATACATGTCAGTACAGTAGGCATGTAAACTTGGCGTCTGCGCCCATACTAATCAGGCCAGCGCTGTCCAACTGTACTAGCTAAATGTAAACCAAGCATTACATAAACAAACGTCAAACATTTCTATCTTACCGTAGTTTTCTTTTCACGATACGATAGCTTGAAAAATAAAAATGTTAAATTTCATTACCTATAAAAATACTGCCATTTATTTACGCAGTCTCATAAGTTAAGATTTATTGTTATAGATTTGTTTACAATTTACTTTCTTTACTAATCACACTAAAACAGTAAATTCTGAACCAACCATGGCGTTTATAAAGGGTTACCTAATTACTCTATGTAATAAACTCATCTTACTAATATTATAAAGGGAAAGTTTAGATGGATGGATGGATGGATGAATGGATTTTTGTTAAAATTTGTAGCCTAAACGGCTGAACGGATCTCGATGAAATTTGGCATAGACATAGAGGATACTCTGAAGAACACATAGGCTACTCACTTTTTTTTTAATATCACGCGGACGCAGTCACGGGCGTTAGCTAGTAAAGATATAAATAATAGACGCTAACCTAGAATGTCCCCTCCTGATGACAGGATGCGTGGGGAACTGCAGCGCCATCTGCCGCCGCAGCTCCGCGATCCTCTTCAGCAGCTCCGTCACATCCTGGCCCTCCTGGAGACATAATTACATCTTACTGACAAATAGCTTCACTTGTAAGTTTTAATGTATTTTAATTCTAAATTAGCACAAAACATGTGGGATGTGGAAAATTTAAAAATAATTTTGAAAAAGGCGATTCATTTCTAAATATTTTTTCGATGTTTTCTAGAATATTCTACAGTAAGTTGCAATATAACGGGTTTTTTTTTTAATATCAAGTACTTGAATTTCTATACTAGTATTTTAAAGAGGAAAAGATTCGTATTTTTGTATGTATTGAACTCAAAAACTACTGGGCCGATTTTAAAAATTCTTTCACCATTATAAAGCTACATTTGTGACTGACATAAGCTACATTTATTATTATATTTTTTTACTTTCACGCGGCCGAAATCGCGAGCAACAGCTATAAAGTAAAAGTCAATATGTTTTCAATAATTTTGTTTATTATAAAGTTAGTATCTGACCTGTTGCTTAGTGAACATGTCAAGTTCAGCGTCCAGGATCTCCTTCTGCGCCTCCTCCCGCGTCTTCGGCTTCTTCACCTGCTGGCACGTCATATTATTTACCTCGGCTTATGTACAAAGCTTATATACAATGTTACTGAATACTTTGATATTTATATTGTATGAAATAAATTGTGCAATTTTGCAAAAATGAAATGTTTTTATATGAGTTTTTTATTGAATTCGAATGATTTTTTAAGTGTCAATTTATGTTTATTTTAAAATATCACCAATACAATTAGCAGCACAGGAATGTTAGCATGAAAATATTACCTCCCAGTTATGTTAAACCAAAAAATTTAATGTTCTTACCACCCATGATTACTCACAGATAATGATCATTACTAAAATGCGGTATATTCTTTTGTGAATCTACCGATAAGCTATTTTCTATACAATTGATTAAAATTTTAATTTTGTCAATTTAAGCTCTCACTTTGAGATTTTCTTGATCCAGAACCGAGTTTGAATTGAATTTGTGCCAATTTTAAATGATTTAATATTAAATTTGTTAAGTAAATATATACTATCTACAGTACTGTTACCTAACCTAAACTAAATATAAAGTACATAATTAAAATATATAAGAACAAATTAGTACATAATATTTTTGTATTATTTACGATATACGATATTTCTATGATATACTGCTATTCTATATTTACTTATTCAAATATACTCGTATATATGTAATGTACATATTTAGTATGAGTGAAGTTACATACAAGATTATATTGAATACATTTGCCTGTGCGCATGCGACGTGCTAGGAGACATCTAGTCTGGGATACTTGGTCTAATTACTTCATTACTAAAAGAGACTAATTTTTTATTTTATTTTATAGTATTTGAGATATATAATAAATGTATATCTATGTGACAATATGTAAGAAAAATACGAGATTTATATTTAATTTCGAGATGACAAGAAAATTATCGTAAAATGTTGGCCAATTTGTGTTGTTTTTCTGATTTATTAGTTTCAGGATTCATTTTTGTTTATTATACTGGTAATTCAATAAAAAGCACACAAAAAAACTAAGTTAATTACAACAAAACTTTCAAAAGAGATGCGTCAGCATTCTAGAAGTAAAAGCAACGATAACAAGGAAGAGATATCTTGCAATAAGAGCAGAAACAGAAAAAGCAAAAAACAAAACACTTTGATACAATTTAACATACAAAAGTGTATACAAAACTGCATGGCTTTGTATGGGATTTTTCTGTTAACCTACGATACTTGTTTTTTTGTGTAATATTTAAAAAACGTTGTTTTTGATTTGTGATGAGTAATGTTTTTAGTAACTTAAATTACAAATAATTCAACATACAAAATGCATGAGAAACCGTTAAAATGTATACGACCGATCAACAAATGCACAAAAATAACCCAATGACCAGGATGTCTCGTAAGTGAACAAATAAATCAGGGATAATAAACCTTTTCTAAAAATAATTTAGTTTTTTTTTAAATTATCATGAAAACAGAAAACATTTTAACATTTTCTATTTTTTAAATCAAAGTTCACTGTACTTTATTTTTTTTTGCATATAAATATCAAATCTTTTGTATGTATAACAGTAAGGTTCATTATCCCCGTCAGTGGGTACAATGCACACGATGCACGGGTCGCGGGACACCTGGGACATTGGACACTTGGGACATTGCACACTTGGGACATGGGACACTGGGGACATGGGACACTTGGGACACTCGGGGCACGCGCACGCGCACGGGCGGTACCTGTGCGAGCTGCAGCCGCGACATCGACCGCGCCACGCTCTCTTCCTGCCGTCCACAACACCACCGTTATATTATCATATACCGTTATATTATCATTCTCACACTTTCCTGACATAAACTGCCGAATTTATTTCCCGTCTACACTCATATTACGATGTAATCTTAAAATATCGTATTAAAAATGTATAAAAAAGTCGTTCTCTTTTCTTTTTTTATATAAAGATAAAAAAATTATATTAGAAATCAAAAAAATCAACAAATAAAATCATAATTTTCCAAAGCATTGTTGAAATTGCAGAAATGAAAGTTTTAAGTTAACAGAAATCAATAAAAATGATATAATAAATGAGACTTGTATATTGTTGTGGCAATTAGTACCTGTAACTGCTTCATGGTGAAGTTGAGCTCGTTCCGCAGCTTCTCTATCGCCTCCTGCGCAGAGTTGATGGCCTCCAGCAGCACCGGCTTCTGCGCCGCGCTCACGTTGCCTGCACACACAATATAACATTGAATACTTATTTTACTTTAAATATATCAAATCAACATTTACACCAACAAGGTCTTAGATATTTTTCAATAATTCAAATCACAAAAATCAATTTCTTTAGAAAATGTCATCATACTAATATCATAAATGTGAACGTTTAGATGATTGGATGTTTGTTAGAGTTTGTACTCTAAACGGCTGAGCGGATTTCGATGAAATTTGAGGTAGAGGATAGTCTGGAAGAACACATAGGCCATTCACATTTGTTTTTTTTTTTTAATTCCACGCGAAATCGCGGGCGAAAGCTAGTATATTATAAATGCGAAAATGTGGATAGATGGCAAATGTTCAATGTTGTACAATTTCGAGACACTCTGTATGTGGCATATTCTCACCGGATTCCAGGCGCTGTATGAGCAGCCGCTGCTGCTGCAGCTGCGTCTGCAGCAGCGCCTGGCAACGCTTCTGTACGTCCAGCAACTGCTTGTTCTTCTCTATAGGCTTCACTGCTTCCTTCTTTGGTTCTTGACCGTTCGTTATCTCTTTAGGCTGGAATTTCAAACATTAGGTTTAAAAATACGTTCCAAACTAAATGTAAATGCAAATGCAAATCTCACAACCAGGTTGTTCCAAAATTCCAATTGTTTAGTTGAAATTACAACTAATTAGGGTTTATTTACTAATTTAAATTTTAGGTAATTTATTACCTTTTCAGGTTGTGTCGCGTGCTTGTTGTCGGCGGTGGCCTTGATGTTGTCCCTGTTAATGAGCACCTTGTTGTGCGACATGGGGTGATGCGAGTTCTGTCTGTCTGCTTGCTTGCCAGCCTGTCCGCCGGCATGCCCGCCGCTCGGCGCCATGTTCTCCTGCTTGTTCTGGATACGCATATCATATTAATATTTTTTTATTTGGAATGAAAGCCTAAATTAAGTTAATCTAAATTTGTAGTCAAAATCCATAGATGCTTGTATATATTTGACATTTTTAGTTATTTTCGAAAAACCATTACATAAAGTGAAGTTACGTTGTATAATAATGTTTTTTTTTTAGAATACCTATGTTTTAAGATTCTAATAGGAATCCAATGTGCAAATTATAAATAAATTAACTTTTTAAAATGTACCTCTGGGTTGTGCCAGAAGACCTTGATGAACCTGTTGTTAAGCACAGCCTCAGTGCTCTTGTAGGCGACGTTAGCCTCAGTCGGGTTGGAAAACGTTATAAGCGCCGCCTCGGGGTCGCCTTCGAAACTCACCTGCACAGTAATAGTGAAATTAAGTTTGCTATAAATTTTACAGTGATTTTAATAAGGGAATTGTGGAGATCTTACTTGTATGTTAACGATTTTTCCGAATTTGCTGAAATGGTTGTTGAGATGTGTGATGTCGTTCAGTCCGCGCGGCACCTTCTTCACCTCCAGCGAGCAGTTGCCCGCGTTGCCCGCCAGGGGCGCACGAGCTCCTGCATAAAAATTTATTCATTTATAGAAAAATCAAGTAAATTATATGATTCTATGTTAACATTTTTTATATTACTACAGCAAATATGAGCTTAAAAAATGAAAGTACCCAAACGGTGGTAATCAAAGTTCTTCTTTGGCGGTGGTCGTTCATGTCTAGGCGCAGGCGGCGCCTCCGTCCTCACGTCGTTGCGGGGCTCTGCCCTCGCCTCCGTTCGGTTCTCATGACGCACTCTGACAACATAACAGAAAAAAATCGATTTAGTAAAAAAAAACCGAACAAAACGTATTTAATAGAATATTAGAATACCATTCTTATATGTATTAGAAATCGAATTTAATGGAAACGAAAAAATTTATTTATTTAATAATCAAATACATGAAATAATTATTTCATTTTATCAAACATTCACAAGAACACCCACATGTTGAATAAACATAAGAAACAATTTAACAAATCTGTTTGAACAATTTTACATTTATAAGACTATAATCACACTATAAACTAAATGACTAGACATAATTTTAAGGTATCTGAGCCTCTATCAGGCCGTGGTGGGACAGGCCTTAAGATACATAAGTATGTTTCCATTTGACATATGTAAATGTAACCTGGGTATGGGCACGAGCTCCCTGGGCGGGTGCGGCGCGTGCGCAGCGTGCGCGGCGTGTGCGGCGAGCGCGGCGTGCGGCGCGTGCGGCGGCGGCAGCGCGTGGTGCGGCAGAGCGTGCGCGTGCGCGTGCGCACCGAATGGAGGGAAACCCGCACCGCACCAGATGTCCGGTGTTAGTGGATTATACTCTGGAAGACATAACAATATTTATAGCGTAAAATTTTCTATTAAAGACACCGATCAATATCAATTATTTTCTCCTACTGCAGATATTTTTGTGTTAAGAATGACTTTATTTATGAAAATTTAAAAAAAACTTTGTTAGCCTGTGTTCTTCTATGAAAAATTTCAGGGAAATCATTGCACCGTTTTGGAGATGAGATAGTAACTTTCTTTTACATTTTCAATTTTTTCTCATGTATTAGTAAAGGTATAATATAGGAGTAAGTTTGTATGTATACCGGGCACTGGCGGCTGTATGGGCAGCACTCTGGATAGCGTGGCGTCCTCCAGCACGAGGGGGTCGGTGCCGTGATCCCACTCACAGAAGTCGCCGCGCATGCAGTAACCTTTTTCTAAAAGAATATATAAAAAATTAGTACATTAAAATGACAACAAACCAATGGGTCAGCAAATAAAAAAAAATAGCTTATATAAAGTTAGATTAAATAAATATAAACTAACCGTCATAGTCTCTACAGCGTCTCTTGTAGGCATCAGGTACCTCTAGCCGGGGCGAGGTGGAGCCGCGGGACCTGTCGCGGGACCTATCACGTGACCTAAAACACATTATACATTAAAAAAAGTAATTACATTATACGTTCCATAGTAAAAAAATATATAATTATAACACATTTTGAGTTACTGTGTACAAAAAAACGCTTTTATTTTGTAAATGAAAACACAAGGGGAAAAATAAGTCGGGCGTTTAGATTTTTGTAAAAATTGACGTTAGCGTAAGTAAAATAAGAACAAATTAGTAGCACAAAACTTTACTCACCGATCCCTATCTCTGGATCTGGACACTCTATCTCTGTGTTCGCGGTCCCTCGACATTCTGTCTCTCTCCATCTCGCGGGGAATGCGCAGTCTTTCTCTTTCCCGATCGTAATCTCTATCCCGGAGTGGCACTGGTGACCTTGATCTGTTTTAACATTACGTATTTTTTAAGAAACGTAGAAACATCAATTTATTTTGATGTTTAATTAACTAGAGAAATTAAAAATATGGCTGTATATGTACATAGTATAATTTACGAAAAAGTTACTTTCTATTTCGATCATATTTATCCTATTTTAAATTGCAGATAAAAAAATGACAACATATAAATAATTTTGCACTGCTCTTGTGCCCTTACAGCAGTTATTTATTTTAATAAATACAAATCTTTATATTAGTATTATTATTTAGTGCCTAGTTAAGTCTGTCTAACCTAGACCTGGTCGGCTGTCTCTCAAGGAGCGCCGGCGGCGGACTTCTGTTCCTGTAGCGGCCGCGCGGCGACGGGGACCGCGACAGGGCTCGTCTGCACATCGTTAAATACACACATATGGTAACACATTAAATGGAACTTAATGTGGGAAAGAGAAGATATTAGGGAAGAAATAGTTGAGGTTCTAACAACATGTAAGTTACTTTTTGGCTTTTTCATACTAAAGAATCGAAAGATGCATTGTTTCAGCCTATCAGAAACAATAACTATTCTTAAGTATACACAAACGGTATTAGTATAGTATGTATACAAAAATATGTAGTTTTTTCACCTTAAAGTTGCTATTTTTGACAACCATGGTATTAGAACTTCAACAATATCTATTGTTAATGACTTTTTATAAATAGCATATTGTTGGAAGAGGTAACATTATGTAAATAAACAATAAAGGTGACAAAAAGCAGACGTATTATTAGCCATATGTTAAATTAAATTATTTAACTTGCGTGAGACATTATAACAAATGATTTAACGTCTATTAGAGACTAGTTTCGGACCCATCGGAAGTCCTTTTCCGAGGCGAGTGTTATTAGGGTTTTTTAGATAAGTGTTTGTAAGGGAAGCTTAGTTGAAAATATAAGTATGTTATATCTACCTTTGTAGAGATGTTTGTTAGTATGTGTTAGTGATGTTACCTCCTGTCGTACCTCCGTGCGTCATTGGCGTGTGGTGCGTGTGGTGCGTGTGGCACGTGGGGCACGTGCGGCACGTGTGCGAGGTGCGGCGCGTGCGCGGCGTGCTCGGGCTCGCGCACGTGCCGCCGCGGCCGCGCACGCCGCTCCCACGACCGGGAACGACGCCGACGTCGCTCCTCCTTGTCACGGAGCTGGGGAACACATTAACTTTTTACATTTAAAACATACTAATAATATAGAATTATGGTGACATTATAACAAAACACGTTGTTCCTGTGCGGCTTCATCCGCTTGAAAATATAAAGATTTTTTTTTCTTTTTTTTATTTGTTAAATTCTCAATTGCAAATGTCAAAATTACATTGCTTCCTTAATGCTGGCAACATGTAGTTTATGGTCAGTTACCCACATGAAGTTATTTTTCCAACTTACCCCTAAGTTTAATTGTGTGTAAAAATATAGCCTAAAGCGTGTTGTAGGTGTAGGACTTTTTAATACAGAAAGATTTCATTTAAAAATTCATTTAAAAATCTGCTATTATTGCAAAAATCCTACGCCACAAAGCAATGAGTATTTACGTTTTATTATATTAAGAATAGAGTATAGATGTACTCACAGAATCACTTCTACGATCTCGTCTCCGCGGCGGTTGATCCAATAATGGTTCTTCTAGTAATTCCGTCAAAGGCATCACCTGAAATATAAAAAAAAAATAGTAAAAATCGATTTAACATAAATAAACCTTATTATAAAGTTAAATTCAAATATTAATCTTATGTATGTGAGGTAAAGTATTTTATACCTTAACAAGGGTCTGCTCCTGATGTGGTCCGCGCGCCCGCGGCACCACGAGGCGGTGACGCGGCGCCTCCGCGGCCAGCGCGGGCGCCGCCGCCCCCGCACTCGCACCCGCAGGGGACTTCGCCCCCGGCGCGGAGGCCGTCGTAGCGCAAGCCGCTACACAACATAACACATGTTTACACAACGATTAGATAACAATATGTCATAAAAGATAATTTTACATACTTCCTTGATAAATAAATAAGTCATTAAATTTAACATTATAACTGTACTATTCAATTTTAAAAGTAATTTGGCAGGGGATTGAATGTATAGGGGAAATATCCTTCCTCCCATGCGTCGCCTCCTCTGTTGATTAAATGTAGGGAACGCATCTACATATGCGGAAGTCTATGGGCAGCGGTCGTTTCACTATTTCGGCGAATTCCGGTTGCTTTTGTGTTTTGTATATAAAAAAGCACTTATTTAATTGTAATCATTACATATAATTGGTATTTTACCAACTATATGTATAAAAACCAAACTCGATGTATAGAAAATGCTAACAAGCTTACAAATAAACATGGTATAAAGTTAAATTTAGGAATAAACTGATTATTAGAAATTATTAGTACAAATTTTGCTTATACTTAGTTTATTCCCAAGTTTAACTTCACACTGCGTTTATTTATAAGGCTGTAAGAGTTATTCACAGTGGGAGAACCAATATAAAACAAAAATATCTCAAAACATCTCCTGGTAATGTCTAAACAGTTTTATAAATAGAATAAAAACTCATATGCTATTGAGTATTTAAGTAGTACTTACGTTGCTCTTCCACATCTAAAGGTTTTTCATTCTCTTTAGCATCAAGCTGAGGACTGGGAGGCTTCTCCGGGTTGCTTTTCAAGTACTCCAGGCTCTCCAATGACTTGAACAGCATGTCTACAAATGGCTTTGTCTCTGTTTAAAAAAACAATAAAATATATTAATATGTGTTGGTTAATTTTTTGCAGGTAATCATTTGAATTTAAAAATGGTATATTTATGTGGTCAAAACATTGCAAATACCTTTAACAATAATGTTATGACATTTTTCATTAAAATTTAATTATAAGCGTTTTTGTTTTTACTATTCAAATAAGTACAATTTCTAAAAAATATACCGTTTATAAACATTTTTAGATATTTATAGTTTTGTTATCTTCCGTCAATCAACTTTGTGGAAATTATGGCTTTTAAACATTTATCAGTGGTCACGCAAATTATACATTAATTGAAAAGAAGCCATTCGTTTTTTATATTTTTTTTGTATTATTAAAAATGGACTCTAACAACGATTGCAGTTTTTTTACTAGGTTTTTTAGATTTACTATTAAATGTAGGAAAAAGACTCTAAAAATCATCAAAAAAAATCTATTTTCAGAACATAAACTTACCCTGTTGCAGGAAAACATCTAGTTGGTCAAGCATGCCTTCTCGGAGCTCATCCAATGGCTTATCCTTCTTCACTAACGCATACACATACTTTGCCAATGCTGCGGGATCCGCATCGCAACTGGAAATATTGTACAATTTATATTTATTTACCACTTATGAGCAACTATTAGATTATTTGATTATAGTAACTAATAAATGTGTTGATTTATTTCTGTATAGTCATTTGTACTCTTTGGTATACTTTTATAGTCTGTGACCCCTTTTTACTCTTTGATTACCCAACAAAGTGCAGTGTATTTATATTTTTTTTTAAATTCATGTATATTTGGCCATCAGTGCATACAATCTCAACTATGCTTGCCCAGTATTTTAATAACTCATGTAAACTATCAGAAATTAGAAATGATTCTTTTCTAGACAAATCTTTAAACATTAATAAATCTAATAACAATTATTTCAAGAACATACAAAACCTAAATTTTCAATATGTCTTTTTAATGTTACTTTCAAATTCATACAAAAATTTGTATGTACCAAGTTAATTAACAAACAAGGTGTAGATTGCCAAATTGTGGTTTACAATAATTTACATAAGTGCCATCAAAATCTAGACAGAAATACAAAAGTAATAACAATTTAAAGGACCTTAATTCTTTTATATATAATATAAAGATTACTGCAATATGAAAACATATGAATTAACAGTATGTTAAGTAAAGTTACATAAAAAGATAACCATATCAGCTATGGCCACTGTACATTGTAGTTATCTTTGTGTCAGTAATATATGAAGTAATGAATATGGAGACAAAGTAATAAATGCATAATTATCAACCAAATGTATAAAAGACATTAACAAAGGAGATTGAGTAGTCATAATTTAAGTGGACAAACGAGTGGAGGGAATACAGAGGTGGTAATCCACACCATGGTGTTCAAAGTTACTTATGTTTGTTTTATGAATTTACAGAGCTAATACATTTTAATTCACCAGTTCATCGAAAAATAATGCATTACATTTTAGAATAGGAACTGATTTTATTATTTATGGGATAGTAAGAGTTTTAGGATCTGATTTTTATGTAATTCAGCATGTCACAGTTTTCACAGATAAAATAGTAAACAGTTTTAGAATGGTAAAAAATATTAGAATAGATTCTGTGGAGGTCTTTTAAAAATAGATGTTTATGAAGATCTGTGAGTCTTGTTGCTATTTTAAGATGCAAACAAATCTAAATAGATTTAAGCTGACATTACTTTAAGTTATGGATTTGTTCTTATTACATTATAGTTACCTGATATAACCTACAAATAAAGTTAAGAAGAATTAACTGTAAACAGTTATTTAATCCCAAATACTTTTTTAAGTTAAATTGCTAGTCTTAAAGGTCTTGTTTTCTTATGATGGTAATCTTTTATGGCACAAACACAAGTTAAAACTCTATTCCTATGAAAATTATGAATTATTAACTATTAAGCACACAAGCTTGCTTAATGTTTATGATAGCATTAGTTGATTTGTCAACAATAATGATATAAGTCATCGCTTTGTAAATAGATTATGATAATGATACCTAAAATTCGAGGAAAGTTTCCGTTTCTATGCATTTTATAACTATTTAGATAATTAGGCATTACAAAACTTATTTATCAAAAGTTTTTTATTGTTTTAAAAGTTCGAATTCGTTTTTATATATACGCAGTGGTACTTTCACATTTCTTAAAAAATTACTTTCCCGTAAATTCGTATAGAAAATGACATCTGTGTCATTGCACCACGCCAGTGGAGCCAATTGCGATAAAACTTATTACGAAACCGTAACTTGACACCTAATCACTACTCATTATAACCTTAATTATTTCCATTTTAAATATATCTACAGTACAAATTTAATTTAAAACATTACTTTTAACCAGTTTAGATGTGTGTTATTGAAAAAGATGGCTTCGAAACTACTTACAGGGGTTCCAATATGGACGTCAACCATGATTTGAAAGCGTCTGGGTTTTCAATAATCATTTCGCGTACAATATATTTGCGTTACACACGACAATCCATATAAAGTATTTTCATAAACTTGCAAAATTAAATAGTTTTCACAATCACAAAACCTGAAAATAATCGACAGTATCGTAACACTTCACGTCTCTTTTCGCACTTTTCTAGATTACTTTTTTTTGGTCTTGCTATTTTTGCTTGCTACGTAAACCAAAGAGTTAGAGAGTATAGAGTATACAGCCGCGAAGTTTGCTACAAAAATGTTAGTCTATGAATAATGTTGCCTCATGCAATATTATAATTTGCAAGTAAATCGGGTGTTTTATCATATTTTTCTTAGAACAGTAGTTAAATACCTTTGACAAGTACTTTTAGAACAGTTATGTAGATTTTTTAATAGTAGAAGATAACAATAATAAAAAAACTGGCTTTGATTTTTGTAAATCAACTCATACTTAGGTGTTAAATAATATAGAAAATTGCAGACCGCGGCAAGAAATATTTAATAGATATCGATAACAATGTTGTTTTGAAATTACTCTTCTATGACCAATATGTTTTAACAAGTTATATTTCGTTAATTTGGCATTACGATACAAGCAGGTCATAATGATTTATTTAATAAATAATAATCAATTCATAAGAAACCATTAATAAAGCATAAATTAAATAACCAAGAAATAACGGCATATGCTGAATGATTTCATTATGAAGCGCCAATAGATTAGTAGCTAATGGTACGGACATCGTAGCACGCACTCGTGGATTCGAATCCCGCCATGCATTTATTGTCATAAATTTCGAGAACACTTACGGGTTACTTAAAGGTGTTCGAAGATCGTTAAATATATCTTAACACAAGTCTAGAGCTCGGTTTGAACGGTTTTTTCAAAATTGTTTCTTTTAAATTAACAATAATCTGCTTATGTATGCCTTGAGTTGACCGTCAAGTGAATATATTTATACCAACGTGTATAATGTTGCGAATTAGTGCATTTGAAGTTTAATTTTATAAGATTGATTTAGTAAATAAGGGCCTATTACCTTTACGGAGTACCATACCTTACAATGTATAAATGTTATTTAACCCACTGCCAATAAAAAACGGTTCTCAGATCGTGTACATTTTTCCATCACAGTTCGATTCTCTGTTTGTACAACACTTTCCATTTTCAATCTCTGTTGTTAAGTAATTTAATGTGTTTTGATGAAACAGTCAAATAATAAAGTTAATTGTAACTAGCACAGATGGACGTGGTATTGGATTTACTAAACACAGCGAAATCGTAAAAGTTTTCTGCATTTAAACAGTATTCTAATTAACGAACTCTATTCATCCTTTCGCATATCTGAGAAATAATAAAAATGGCCAGAATTTGGATTCGGTATAACTAGTATTAGGTTACAGAACAGCTGGTAGTTTTTATTATACGACACTGTGGAGTTGAGGACGTTGACCTACAGTCGATCGATCATTCAAGTAGTGTATAATGCAAGAAGTCCCAACAATGCGATATCGGACAAATCATATTTTGTTAATATTAGGTCAATGTGGAATCTTGTATCTTATTACATAGGACATGAGTTATTTATTCAAACAAGTTAAATAATTGATCCCTCCTTCATTATAAGGGCTTTAATGTCTTAATCAGGAGGTAGCGATTGGAACTGCTTGTACCTTAAATACTTAGATACGTATGGACTTAAAATATAAGTATAGTAGGTATAGATAAGTACGTACGTATACTTATCTTGTCCTTCATAAATTATTCATAAGACGTGATTCTGGCAGGCAAAAATTTTTTCATGGTTTTTTTTTTTTGGAGGAACCGGTTGTACCGTAGTGTTTATATCTACTGTTCATTTTATTCGCCGTAATTGCAATAGGTAACCACAATCGTCCACGATCGTATCAAAGAGTTCATTGGGATCATACGATAGTGTTGAACAATGTAGCGAAAAAGCGCTCCACATTTTTCGATACGTTTGCTTTACATCTAGACGTCTAATTATATAGCAAGGACAGGTTCGCTTGACGTTGGTGGCGTGATACAAACCATAGTTGCGTGAATGAAGCATGTCGTCCCTCGTGCACGTTTTATAATCACATTAAACTCCGCCGGTTTTGTAAATATGTTACAAGTTATCGGGTTAAGTTTACAAGCTGTGTGATTACAGCTTACAGCGCTGATATCATTTCGATTACAATACGATAGTTTTGACGTTTAACATTCGACAACCAGTCGCCTTATAATACGTTGGCGGGAAGACGTTTTTTTTTATATTTTTTAAATCACGGTGAATAGTGTTGTGATGTGATTGAATACGTTGAACTATTAAGTAATTAATGTTAATTTTGGAATATTTTCTGGGGATTGTTTTAATTTATATCATTAGATTATTCATTCAAACAATATATCAAGAGAATAATCAAGCAGGTAAGATCAAATGTTTTTTGTAATATTTGACCACGGCGGATTTGAAAAATTCGATGTGTTAAATCAGTTTCTTCTGTATTTAATCATTTAATAGGAACTTAGGAGTTCACTCAAGTAATACAATTTCTCAATCAAATTGTTTTAAACAAAGATAATGAAAGCAAAATAGGTGTGATGTATGTAACAGGTAGTCGCTTCTGCTTTTTTTCGTTATTCTAATGAATTTACTCTAATTTCATTAATTAACATTAATGCCACCTGATTCATGTTATCTTAAAAATGTCACTGTTAAATATCATAATTGAATGTGTGTGTGACTTAGTACATGCCTTGATAGCACTATTACGGCTTGATATTATTTGCATTGAATGGTATATAAATTAAAATCAACGTATTAAGGAACATTGTTTTGCATATCTTTATTTGATTTGTATGTCGTAAACTTTAGGGCAGCGTGACTATGAAATAAAAAGTACAGTGTATGTAAATTCGATAAAGTTTTTCTTCTTTATGGCTTAACAAATAAATGTTTACTTGTGAAAAAATATTTTTATTCAATTTTCAATTTAATTTGTTTGAAATAAATTTCCAGTAACTGTAATTAATTAAAATGTATTTCAGCTCAACTGTAATTCAGAATTTTAGCATGTTGGCAAAATGTCAAGTTAATTATGGAACGAGAAACTCAAAATCAAGTGTAATTTCAAATGATGTGTAACACCAACAACTTATCGGGGATTTTCGAACTCAATCTCAACTGATAAGTTTAGTCAGCAGTTTATGTTAAAACATTAAGTTGCAAGACTCTTTTAAAAAGGCGTGTAAAGTAAAATATGTCAGTTTCGCTATTTTCATCGCAAAGTTCACGAACATTGGTTACGACTATTGTGCGTTCAATTTGGTCGATATACAGCGCTTACTGCATTACTCAATTTACACTCTTACCGTGCGTTTCCACTGGTAAAAATCTGTTTAAAACAATGTTTAGATATTTCTAGTAAACACATGACTTGCAGTGAAATTGACGAAAATTTTCGCATAACTTTGACCCATATACGACTGACATCAAGTGATAAGATAACTGAACGTCGTCATCGTAGTCTCGTAATTTTTATCGCCATTAAAAGTAATCTTGACGGTATGAAATCGATATTAAGTATGTGTTAGATACGATAAAAATCGCAATTTTTATTTACACAAAAAATAGGCATCCGCCCTTCGGAGTAGTCAGGAAAAATTAAGCTATTAATTACTGTATACCTTAACCTATAATACATTTGTTCAATTGCAACAAAAACATTAACCGAAAATACTCAAAATTTTTCATACGTTACCCATCCCTATAATGAGGTAATATTCATCAACTCTAAAAGACATAGACAAGATAGAGGATTTAAACCATTCTGTAGAACCCTCTTGATAGATCGTTGCTTGAAAATAACAGTTTTTAACAGAACGCGAAACGGTTTCTGGGCTTCTAGCTACTAACACACTAACAGCTAATTAGATCGGCTAGAGCTTAACTTAGGTGTTATTTAATCTTTTATAGTGTCTGTCTTGAAACTGAATAATTTCAATACAGTAACCAATGTCTTTGTTCTTCAAAGACATTGAGATCGTAAGAAAATGTTAACATATTTTGTTATCAATTGATGTCTTTTCGTTTCAGTTCTGATTGTAAATTACTTGATTAGCATTTTTTTAACAAAGTAACAGGATATAATAAAAAGTGTAATGTTGAGTTCGCAATAAAACATGACAAGGGTAAATGTTCATCACTTCTTGTGCGGTTTATTAAGTTTTGTGATCAGAAATACAGATTGAGCACATTTAATTTGCATTCCACTAACAACTTAGTAGTTAAATGACTGTACGATGTCGATGACTAAAAATATTAATAATAAGTCTTAATAGAAGCGGTATTTCACCGTACCATTGAACGTTTACTATTAACATAACTAAAGACAGAAACTTGAATACTTCAATGGTTGTATTTAAAATCTTCATTGTTAAAGTATTGTATTGTTATACGACTTTGGAGATTCTGCATAGATAAAAAAATCAGTTTCAAAAAGTTACGTCTTCCATATATTCCGTTGTTGAATTACACTTTGGAGTTTTTTTTAAAGATTTCTATTCGTATAACATTAGAAATAACGGGAAATACTTAACAAAAGACGTTAAAAATTATTGTATTAATTTCATCGGAATACAATTGACGTTACATAGTAATTTATTTACAACTTTTTCAGTGTAAAATATTGCTAACAATTGTTATGATGAAATTTTGCCATTGTTTTCTTGTACGCATTTTAATGAATTAACCATACAAAAAATCTATTAATGCAAGGTTATTAATCGTGGTAACTTTTTGATTAGCCGACGAACAAAATTGGACTTCTCGATCAATAACTGTTTATCCGTCTTTTAAGGAAATACTAACTCTGGCAACCCTTGTTAGTTCAAAACTCTACAGTATACATGGAGCACAAGTAAACAAATCGCTTGCAAATGTCTCCAAATAATGAAGACAGCCACACCTACGTAATTAAACTCATTGTAGAATGGACAAAGTAATTTTAAATTATACGAATAACTAATTCAGTTTGGTTATAATCGTAACAGCATTCAACTGTAGCAATCCCGCATCATAGCGGTTACAAACGTCCTCTATTTCACTTCCCTAAGTTGTATCACGTCCTTTTTCACCTTCAAACGCACGCGTCTCTCAGATGCTCCTGTCATTTGAGCTTTGACACGAGATAACCACAGATAACCTAGAATTAATTACAAACTATGGATACTTCATTTCACGGACTATTAACATGCTGAGCTTGTTTTACTTTCGACGGATTATCTTTTGGTAATAATAGACTGGTGAAAGATAATACGAGACAAATAAAATAATATTAAAAATCTGTAAATATCGGAAAGAAAGGTCGCAAAGCGGTGTCTATGTAAAGTCCCATGTAAACGTATGTTCCCACAGTATATTTATAATTAAAAATTTAATATTTACAATTAAAAAGATGGTTTGTGGTTTAAGATCGTGCAGAATATAACTTAAAATAAATATGTACTATTTGGGAAAACAATACTTATCCATATAAGTAGTCCATAATTTGCAAACGGACCATTTTCCTTATACTTGATTACAAATTCCGTTTGTCGATAAATAATGTGAAACAACAGAAGGATAAAAAAAACGTTATTTTTATTATTACTTTAGTATATAAGTACAAACGTAATTTGTATTTGATACCAAAACCTATGGTTTGTAACTGTATATCGTAAAAGATTTAGAAATAAAACTATTTTAACGGAGACATTATGTAATGATAAAATATGTACAGAAAAAAAGGACTAGAAAAAAGTAATGACGTCGACAATGTGTTCTAATTTTGAATTATTTAATTTCTTCTTCTTTTCTAATGGCTTGTCTCTAGTAACGTGTAAAAACTCCTTGAACAGTAACCAAGATAAAAGGAAAAATCTTTATATTTTAAAATGAATCAAAAATGTATTTAACCTCACTAGGTGTAGTAGACATTTCAAGATTAGACATGGAATCGATCCGATATTATATACGGAGAGTATTGGCGTTGCTAGGGAGTTAGGCGCTATACCGAGTCTAGGTGATCATCGTGTGGATATGCCTATAACGAATCGACTTTAATGTTTTCATATTATTGTAAATATTGTAACATCTTATCAAATATCAAACTATACAGGATGTCACACGATAAGGTGTCAATATATTTAAGCGTAAAAGACGTATCGTTATCAATATAAACAAAACAGTGATACTGAAATCGTTCGATCAATATCACCTGATTTTTCAACGATCTTTTTACACTAATCAAGATGTTATACATCCGCGCGGAATTAAATAACATTTACTAAGTAGATTTTGTGTTACTTTCATACCGATCTATTCAACAATTTGGAGGTGCTCACAATAAACATTCATCTTAAATTTCGAATTTGTATCATAATAGGATATAAAGGTATTTCTTATGGAGATAAAGATAGTTACAACAGCAACTAAATGATGTGTATTAAATCGGTTGTTGTGTGATGAAACCCTCATTTTAACACCTTAAAGAATTTTTCATTATATAAGATATGCAATCGATTTCAATAAGAACATTCCGACCGGTGAATTCCAACCCCGAGACGTTGGAATGAAGTCTATATAGCGCCTGGTAATAAAAATTCTATTTCATTATGGGTTATTTTGCTATTAATTTATGCAAACCATAAATTAAACGTTTTGATTTGAACGTAATTAATGTAATTATGAACAAAACTTTGAAATAAGTGTTGATGAAAACTTTGCATTTTCGTTAGTTAACCCTCTCTTAAAAACTCTATTGTGCACATATCCCATTAAACAGCTTCTTATTTTTACGTCATTAGTATAAGTAACTGAAAGTGTTCTGATATTTTAATTTTACTTTACAAAGGTGTAGAAAATTAACGCTTGCACGTCACCGCGGTGTCAAGTGTCACGGGATCGGAGTCCACTAAAAAATTACAATATTAATTACAAATGGAAATGAACCAACTCGGTAAAGAAAATAAAGAACGGTACTTACGTTTACTAAAGTTAGTTAACCCCATTATCACAATATATGTATGGGAAAAATAAAATAATTGATTTTCATTGATATTTCAAAAAGTATACAAATTTCATAGTGCGAATCAGCAATTATAATTAGAATAATATTAAATCTCTCGGAAAACAACGACGGAAATCGAATGATGGCCAATTTAAAAAATGAGTCTAGTGAGGTTAAAATTACTAAATACTTCGAAAGGCTTAAGGCTTATCATAAGCATGTTGGAAGTGACTTATTTTGTTTTACTGCTAAAGCGTTACGACAGTTTATTTGCTATAACAATATGACAGGCGCTTGGAATATTAAGTGCTAAAGACGTAATCGTAGTAAAGTAGAGTATGTATTATTGTAACTATTTCACGATTATGTTTCTAAGATTTAATTATCGAAACATATCAATTTTTATTTTATACTTTAATCCCACACATCACCGATTAACTTAATAAAATTTTTATTATCTACTCATGTTGCGAATACAAGTACAAAGTTTCAATTAAAAAGCAAATTCTTTAGAAAAAGTGCACAAACATTTCTTTCAGATCTAGAGTAGCTTTGACGTAACTAAAACAGACTTAATTTAAGAAATTAAAGAGAAATGAAAATATGCTTTTTAATTTACTACGTGTACAAGTAATTGGTTAGTGAAAAAGGGTTGGTTGTATGTTACAGGAGGGATGGCGGAGCGGGAGCAGGCGGGGCAAGATGAACAGCAGGCGCGGTGCTCCTCCAGCGAGAGCGACAACTTCGAGAAGATCGATTCCACAGATGTTGCTGAGAGCAGTGTAAGCAAGCACTATCTTACTACATGTGTGGGTGTTGGCGTTGTAATTCAACTAACGTTTTCTCCCGACTCCGTCAGAGAGGGATAAAAAAAAAACAAAAAAGAGTAGCCTATGTGTTCTTTCAGATTATCCTCTACGTGTACTATATACTAAATTTCATTGTGATCCGTTCAGCCATTTAGACTACAAATATAACAAACATCTATCCATCCACACATCTAAACTTTCGCATTTATAATATTAGTAAGATAACAATCTATATTTCTATACTAATAAAGCGTAAACACACACTTCTTTGTTGCCTAAGATGTCAGCAATCACAGCATATTTTCGAGTAACTCTTTTTTTTAATAAAAAGCCCTACACTTACGTCATGTTTTAGGCTATATTTTTTCACGCCGCCGCCGTTAAACTTAGGGGTAAATATTTTTGATAAAAACCCTAATGTGGGAAAGAGACCATAAGTTGTTGCCAACATCAAGGAAGCAAGGTAGCCATGGTTTGACATCATGTCGTATCATTTTGACATTTGCAACTTGAGAAATGTAAACAATAAAATGATTTTATGCGGATGAAGTCGCATGGGAACAGCTAGTGAGATATACAATTAAAATGCCAATATTTTATGTAGTTTTAATATACTTTTGGTGTTTCTCTAGGGCGAGCCAAAGTTCATAGTTGGCGATGAAGTGGTGGAGGAGCCGGAAGACGAGGGCCCTTCCCACGAGGGCAGGGATTCTTTCCCCAACGCACCTCCTCCCAACATCAGGAGAATGCTGACGCCGGCACAGCAGCTTGCGCTAGCCGAGAAGAGAAGCAAACTAAGGTATAGCTTATGAGAGTCCCAAACTTTTTACTTTAACTTATGAATCTTTATTATGTTGATTTATTTGTTACTTAAAGTTAAAAATATTCAACGATGTAGCAAATGCCCTTTAATCTGTGAAGTATAACGAAGCGAGGTCTGTTACCGGTCGACCTTAGCCACCAAACAAAGAAAACTACAGACATACAGATATAACTAGCATTTTCTATTTAATTATTTTCATAGTTTCCACTTTTATCTTTACTTCTTTACTATTATAATAAAGCGTAAACACACACTTCTTTGTTGCCTAATTTGTCAGCAATTACAGCATATTTTTGAATAGTTCTTTTTTTAATAAAAAGCCTTACACTTGCGTCACGCTTTAGGCTTATATTTTCACGCCATTAAACTTAGGGGTAAATATTTTGGATAAAAACCCTTATGTGGGAAAGAGACCATAAGTTGCTGCCAACATCAAGAAAGTAATATTGCCAAGATTTGTCATATCATGTCATTTTGACATTTGCTATTGATAATTTGACAAAGGTGAATAATAAAATAAAATTTTCATAATTTCATGCGGAACAGCTAGTTACAACTATTTTTACTAATAATATAAATGTTTAACGAATTTGTTACAACGAATACAAAACTATCTACAAATTTAAAGATAACATTTTATTCGTTTTAGTCTTTACATTTTTTTTTATGTATTTTATTTATGTATTTTAGGTACTTTGCTTAGAAGTAATTTCGCAAAAATCGAGCAAGGACGAAACAAAGTTCTACATGGCGTATATGTAAATGCGTACTTTGGTTGACATGGTTCGTGGTGTCGTAAAATGCGTCGTGTCTCGATTTTTTTATTGATTCGATAAGCAGCGATTACAGTCCCCAGACCTAGCGATTACGGACTACCTAATCCAACTAAAACTTGCGCGGTTCACACTTGGCTAATACAGTTGGCCAGTAACCTATAACTGGACTGTAAATGAACTGGCACTGTTAGTGCTAACTGGTACAAGTGAGTCCATACAATCTCTAACTTTATGTCGTATTTCCAACTGTACTGACCAAGTATAAACCGGGCATTATGCTTTTCATAACAATAATGTACAACTGAAGACACGCAAGAATTCGCCGAACAATTTTGAAGTATGAACTTCATCGGGTTATAACTGAACTACAAATACGTTATGTTTAATATTTATTAAGTTATACAAAGTTTGAAGATTACATAAGTTGCTCAAGTTAATTCGTTCAGTGAATTTGAATTCTCATCGTACTGCAATCAACATAAATCTACGTAACATCGCGTCACGATCGGCCCACCTTGTTAAGTACCGTGTACACTGGGCAATGCGCATTAAAAGAATAAAAAAAAAATAAAAAAAGAATAACCACCTTGTGAGAAATTGAAAATAAAATTAAATGTTTCCTCGTATATGTTAGGTAACTTCTGATTTTTTTCCAATCAAGAATTAACAGCAATTTAATATTGAGAAGGGAATTTTTACAATAACTGTAAATACTTCTTGTGTCTTCCCTACGTAACTGTGGCTAAAAATGAACTTAAATTCCTATACATAATCCTTTAAAATGAAAAAAATTTAACAAATGACAAGTGTACATGTTCCTTAATAGTGCGTTTTTGTGTATGGCTATAGCTGCCAGAAATGGCGGCAAACCTAACTGTCAGTTGTCAGTTGTCGAATAACCTTTGCGCGCGTACCGCGTATGGCGGTCGGATTTATTAGGAAAGAAAAGCGAGTTTGATAAGTTTTAAAAGTTTTTCCCTTTCTGGTAAGATTACCAAATGGGTATGATAATGTGCAGTGGATTTATTCCGATTTATTTGCGCGATATTTTTGAAGTTCTATTTTCAAAGTTTGGCTGGGAAGTTGTTTTTATTTTACATTGATTTCGTTCAGAAATTACTAAGTTACAGTTAAATTATTATTCATTTTATAAGTGTTTGTTAATTTAAAAATATATGCAGATTTTTTCTAAGCGAAAATTATTAACATGAAGGTCATAAAACTGGGAGATGTAATACTAGTACTAAAAAACAAGAATCCCGATTTTATCTTGAAAAACTCTTAATGTCGAAGAGGCAAAAAGGCAATTGAATAAATTATTAATCATTATCACGTAGGATTTTTGCAATTTTAAGGCCAACGTAATATTGCGTATGTCCTAAGAAAGTGTGATTTCACTTTGTGATTTCTTTCTATAAAGACTTATAAAAAAAATATAAGTGACTAATTGAATTTTCCTTGACGAATATGCGATATGTTTTTTTCGTCTTGGTAGTGGTAACTAGTACGGTTGTATTTCTGATACGTCAAGGATTTTATTACAGCTGAATGTTTTTATTAGACCTTTGACCCTTAATTCGTTAATGAACGCAATCGAACTGGCTTGAAATCTAGATAATGGGCAATTTAAAAAGCTAAAGAAAATATTCTTACTAGTGTAAATTAAAAGGTTAAAAATACAGAACAAAAAAATCATATTTGCTGCAATGTTATCATCACCTCCCTGTCCATCTTACTCACCTTGTTTTCGTTCTCAATGTAGGTGTATCATCCGTCACCTCATTCATAACTCCCTTCTTGATCATGTCTCCTTTCATGAACATCCATCTCTTTCTACACCTACCTCTACCGGTACCACATTCATAAAAGTTCCGTTCTCACGCGCCTCTTCCCTCATAACATGTCTATACCGCGTAAACCTATTTTCTATTTTATCAAATTACAACAAAACTTGAAAATAAGGTATAATATAACAATATTATCATTTTAAATTACATCTATAACAATGAGAAACCTCTTGTAATTTGCATTGTTTGATGGTATAAGTTTTTTTTATATCTTGGTTACTTCATTTCATTGTTTTTTTTCTTATTCTTAGTTTTATTGATTCAGAATTAGAGGTGAATAGACATTAATAAGTTTTAATTAAAAGAATCTAATATGGTAAAGAAGTACATAATATGCGTGTTTTCTTAACCCTGAGAAACCGGTTTAAGTATTTGTCGGCCACTGGTGTCTGATGACGTTTAACATCTCTCGCCAACGTCATAACTTAAGTAGTTAATTATGCTATGATATACATACTTGAGATTTTTATCATATTAATACGCATAAATACTACGCGTTAGTTTAGTATTTTAAATGGCTATTTTAAATCTGAGTACTTTATGTGCAATGTAACATCCCCACTGAGGAGGGGCTCGGAGCCTATCTTCTCCGATATGTTCATATTACGATGTTTCTCTTTGCCGTCGTCGACTAAATGTTCATAAAGAAATCCAGTTATCAAAAAACATAGATACTTGGGAGAAATCGGACCCAGGACTTGAAGATTAGAAGCCCTGCTTAACACCTAAATCACCGTTCGACTTACAGTAATTAGGAAAAAATAACTGAATATGCATAGAACGGAACGTCGCAATTTTAAAAACGTTACAGAGATCTAATATAAATTAGCGTAAATCGTTGCTCCTCATTTAGTCAGACAATAATAAGGAAATATCCTGTTTTTATTACAAGATGGCTTCTTATCCCTTACATAACAGGATAATTTTAAATGGTACAAGAGTACACAGGAAACCGCATCTAAGGCTGCTGTTGTTTTCCTCCTCCTGTGGAAACATCGAAGCCGAGGTAAAACCAAGGTTTGTCCAATGTTCCGTGTAATATCAAATCAACACTTAAAGTCTGAAATATATTTGTGCGAAAAAGATGCGTAGAAAATTGTTAAAACTACGTATCCCACTATAAAAGTTTATAGTTAATGATCTCAAGGAAGCAGGACTAATTAGTTTACTCAAAGACCCGCGTTAGAGGTGCGACCCTGCATGGTACAGATGATAGATAGAGTGGCGCACGGCAATAATTAAAAAATACTCCGCGACTCCTCGTCTATACGAAAATTGACCCTCAAGTCCCTGCAAAGAACGCTTCCAAGGTTTCTCAGTTCCACCGCGGCTATAAGCCGGTATCACGGGTCCATAGAAAGTGTATCTTTTTCTATAGTTAAAATACTTACGTGCGTATCATGAGATTATCATATACACTAAATAAACAGTCCGCTGCGACTTCGACACATCGCCGAAGGTCAGGATTATCGCGTCATTTCAGTTTAAGTAATGCAAATAAATCAGTTAAAAATGTTAGGATATAAGTGTTGAATGCGTTTGCTTTTGTTGATTACTTTAATAGCTATTTATGTACTATGCTGTTTTTTTGCTTAGATCCAGCTTTACTAATGGAATAATTTTATAATAAATCACGATAATAAAGAATAATTACCAACAATTTAGTTTTCAAGAGTATGTAAAATTTTCGAAGTTTCCAGTTTCCATTTACTTATTTAATAGGTTTTCATTTATTTAATAGGTTGTTAAAGATGATTATTTCTTACCACTACAAACTTACGAATAGTATGTGTTCATTACATTTAGTTTTTTTAAACTTGAAAAAGACGAGATTTTCAATTTGTCTGTACGTTTTTTTAAACTTTTTTTTTTGCTTTTAGTGTTGAACAAAATCTACTTGAAGCATATGGAACGCATTAAATCAAGTTGTAATCTAATACACTAAAATACTTGTACACGAGGCAAAGCCAACCAGTTCGAGATAGTTTTGTGGTGTCGTAACATTATACGAGTATAAAAATTCTACCACTCTACGTCAAAGTAACGGCCTCTACGCCTAATATTAAAATAATATTGTTTTGTCATTGAAAAACTGATAAAACCCGTTTTTATTCAATAATTAATAGCCAAGATTAAGGTTTAACGAAAAAAAAAACTATTCCCAACCAAACTTTTTTGTAAAAAGTGTAAGCCACTGACAAAACCAAACTTTCAGATCGAATAACATTTCGCGCGTAAAATAGTGATGTTACCCAAATAGTGACGTTTATGAATTTTTCCGATATCATATCGACATTTGTGACTTTTGTGAATAACGTCCGGAATTTCGTAACAATGTTGAAGAGAAGGACGTCTAAACGATTTGTGCTGGGTGATACGTCAGCGGAGGATCCGAGCACATGGGAACAAGATGAGGCTACGGATGTTGTGCCCAGCGATTTGTTGCAAAAGTTCCAGATGACTCTGCAAACTGAACCCGGTATTGACGGAGAAGATACCAGTCATGAAACGAATCAAGACAGTAAATTATTGCGTCCACCTACTACAGCGACTTTACAGTAAGTTTCCAAGGATGTAAATAAAACTATTGCGTAATTTGCATTATTAATATAACACTAATAAAAGTAGATTTTTACAAAAGCGTTAATATGTATTTTATATGGTGCCGATGGAGTAATTATTTTCTTGGGAATCTATAAAATAATACAGTTTTAGAAATTTCGAATTAATTTCTATGAATCCTGAATCTTTCTAATTAGTAAATTACGTTTGTATTTAAATTACCAACAGTTCTTTACTAACATGTGATAGCATGATCAGTCGTAGAGTATGCTTGAATAGATAAAAACTTTTGAAGTGTTGTCCTGCAGCTGTAGATGGCATATACAAGTAAAGCACGTCATTGTGAACGTTTACGTAATATTTGTCATTAAATTTTTTCGCAGGTCTAACCAGGATTCTAACGTTGATGTTGATAAGTGGTAAACTAAACAATTTTTAACTAATGCTTTGTATATATTTTTTCACTAAAATGCAACAAACTTACTTATTAAGTTTTAATGTTATAATTACTATAACTGAAATGTATAAAGCATATTTGCATTTTCTATTATTGTTTTTTAGATTGTTATTTCTTGTTTTATGTGAATGTCTGACTCGAAGTTTTATGTAACGAGTCAGAAGAACTTATTAATCGATTACAATGTCTTCTACACAAACTAAAGAATAGCATAATAAAAATACGCGTAACGAATAAATTTAGAATGTGAAAGAGTTACGTGCTGTAATTTACATAAATAACAGTCATCTATAATGATTGACTTAAACAAGAATCAAGAATCTAACCATAACTAACGCCAGTCAAGGTTACATATTCCCATGCTTAAGTTTTTTCGGATAAAGGCAAAAAAGGTTAAAACAAATAACTTCATCAGAGCTACCAAAGATCAAGGACCGAATGTTTTGTATTCGTGTTTTGCTACTTATTTTTAGAATGAATAGAATAAGTTTTCCGAAAAATAATTTTATTGGGCATTCACTATAAGGCTAATGATGACGTTACACAGTAAAAATCGATATTTCATATACATTTTTAATAAACTTTCTTCAGTCTTGTAGTGAAGCTCGCACAAGTAAATATAACGTAAGTAAAAAAGTAAAGGTTATTGTAAATAATGGTCAGTAGTAACCTTTCATCGGTTGAACTCGACTGGTGCTCGTTTTTGGCATTTTAGTTGATTTGGGTCATTCAAATAATAAAGCCAACAACATATTTAATTGATTATTTCTTGTGTTATAACACAAGATCTATAGAGAATTACATTGAATAAATATTATTTATGTCAATTGTGTTTTGCACAAATAGATCTATCGATAATATTGACCCCGGTCATCACTAAGTAAACAATCCGGAAAAACATTTTCTTCATTGCATCAATTTTGTAATGACGGCAACTCGGAATTAATTCATATCCGTCTCTGTCGCACATTCGGTTTCTTATACGTGCAAGCGAGACACAATGATCGTATGATTCTGTCATGATAATACTATTGGCGAGTTAAACGTCAGTCAGTGGATGAAAACAAAACTTTGGCAGAGAAATGTTAGATTTTTGTTGTATTTACATTAAAATAAACATAAAGCGGCCTTGTTTTTTGTGAAAAACAATTTTTTACACTGCCTTGACGTCGATAATGTATCCTGCGATGAATGGATTGTATTCGGAAGGTCCATACAGGTTAGAATTCAACATTTCATTCTAGTTATTTTATATACCTTTATTTAATATGCTAGAAAAATAAATGAATGTTAAATTAAGCTCTTAAACTTGTATTTGCATAGTTAAAATATAAGTTTTATTAACCAATTTAATTGTTTTCAATTTAAAAAGTATTTTGTGGAGCAGTGATTTCTCTCGATTTCTCTAACGGTATGCGAGTGTTAATTTATTTATTCGTTTCTATTTATTTATGTAACTTAAGTAAACTCTCTTTATTTAACTGTCTCAATTTGTTTTTATTATTTTAGTCGTTGATTTTTATGTTTAAATGCATTTTTTAGGCCTTAAAATGACATTATTTTATTTATATAGATTAGATTATGCAAACATGATAAATCTTACATTGGTTATAGATTATTAAATAATTTATCTATTTACTGATGAGGTCAGATGCTAAGTTCACCAGGTTAGTATAGTGGCAGCATTGTGCATAAGTAGGTTCATGTTGCAAATTTACTTCTTGTATCATCTGATGGAGTCTAAACTTATTCAGAATAAGCTAAAAGATGACAAGGATGGATGTAAACATTCTAATTTGTCTTGTCAAAGGTAGCTTACAGAATTCTCTATAAACTTAATTTATAAAAACATAAACAGACAAAAAAATACATATCTTTAAGTGATATATATGATATTTTAAATTTAGTACTTATTTTGTAGCCTATATGATAAAAAGGCTTATGTTTAATTAAATTATTTTTTTATAGGCCATCAATGTCCCAGGGCACAGTCATCCATAGCCATCGTTTCCAAGAGAAGGACTTCACAGTCGCCACACCTGAAGAATTTGTGAGGAGATTCCAAGGGACAAAACCTATTAATAAAGTAAGCAACATTTTTGTTTCTAACCAGAGATAGTTACAAATGTTCTGCGATATTATTTTTCCACCAACTTAAATTAGATTAAAAAAAATCATTGAGTACACAACTTTGGTTCTCATCAACATATACCTCCAGGTATTTAGTGGACCAAAGAGTATATATTTATATTACTATTGTAAACATCAGTTTTGGAATATTTTTGACATTGGTAGAGACAAAGGCGGATTAAGGGGGAGTCATAGGGGTCATGACACCCCTGAACCGGTTGGTCAAGAGCTTGACAAAGTATGTAAATATATCTCTTGACTTGACCACGACTATGTGACCGCCCTGGCGCTAAAGCTGGATTCGCCCTTGGATAGACATCTAAAAGGGAACACGTCAAGATTAGAAAAGTGTGATTGTGAAAAAAAACATATGTTTTAGTAGTTTTGTAAGCTGAAGGACTTAGAAGTATCAAGTTTCTATCAGAGCTTTAATTTTTTTTACTATAGTATGAGTTATCTTTATGAGTCATAAGTTAGCGTGATTCAGAAGTAAATTTATTTTTATTTCTCCGGATATCATTATCTTATTAAATTCTTTATTTTGACAATATCATGTTTTATCAAAATTAATATGACAAATGATATCTGATCTAATTTAGTACATAATAAGGATTAAATTTAAATGATGTGACGTTAACAACTCAAGATATGTGTTATCAATATAATAATAATAAAATAATCAATTACATATTGATGTTTACATGACTAATGTATTTGTTAAATAAAAGCTAAAAATGTATAATAAAAAAACTAACAAAACAATGCAGTTGAAAATACTAGACATTAAAACAGACTAATTTTAAAGATTTTTTTATCCTTCTCAGTGTGGCCAGCATACTTAACTAATTATTTATAGTGGTAGTACCCGCTTTAATATCTTAGCACGAATGGGCTGGCACGCCCGGTGTAAAACCACGACCACACAGAAGACAGGCGTGAAATGATAGCAATTCCGTGTTTCGTCTGATGAGTGTGGCGCCGGAGGCCTAATTTAAGTCCCTTTCCCTTTACCATCCTTTTCTTATAAGGAGAGGCTGGGAAGGGGAAGTGGATTTGACGGTGGAGGAGATGTATAGGAAGGGGAAATATCCTCTTTATATGCGTCTCCTCCGTCTCCTCCGTCATGTAAGGGTAGGCAACGCATCTGCAATTGCGGATGTCTATGGGCAGCGGTCGCTTCGCCATTTTGGCGGATTCAGGTGGCCGCTTGCTCTTTTGCCACCTTATGTTATAAAAAAAAAACTGATATCACAATCAGCCAGTATAGTTGGTCAGTAGCGCACAGTAACTGGATTGACAATCAACTGGCACAATGTAACTAACTGACACCAGTTGATCTATACAATCTTTTACTGGTTGTAACTAAGTGTACTGGTTTAATTTGAACTGTGTATGAGGTCTAGATACCCTTAGATTATGCTTTGAGCCGTCTCTAATAATTATAACTCTGTGTTGTTTTTATGTCAAAAATCTTGTTAATATTCTCTAGACCTAGAAAGAGATGGATGTATTGTGTAAAAGGTGACATGATTAAAAAAAGAGGGTGATGACCGAGATGACGTATGATAGAGTTATTTGAAGGACAAAAACTTGTTGTGCCGACCCTACCTGAGTAGGATAAAGAGGATGATTATTTTGTTCCAGGTGTTGATAGCAAACAACGGTATTGGTGCAGTAAAATGTATGCGTTCTATCAGAAGATGGTCCTACGAAATGTTTCGCAACGAACGCGCTGTACGCTTCGTTGTTATGGTCAGTTTATATATCTACTACACGAAAAACTTAATTAAAAACACAATCATTCACATTATTAAAATTTCATTGTACTGTTTATTTCTCCTGCAAATTTCGAAATTCAAATGTTTAAATGACAGTAAAGGATCTTGCCATTGGCTGGGATTTACGTAACCATGGCAACCGTGATTCTTTGCTGCTATTGGCTTGTAGTTTTTGTCTCTTTAATGTAAAGCAACTTTATTTATTTCGCTTACCTTCTACGTGTGTGTACTTTACTGTCGAAAGTGTAGGACTTTTTACTATATAGGATATACTACTAATAGGATTATTCGAAAATATTCTGTGACTAGCTTTCGGCCGCGACTCCTTCCGCGTGGAATTAAAAACAAAAGTGAATGGCCTATGTGTTCTTCCAGACTATCCTTTACGTATACTAAATTTCATCGAAATCCTTTCAGCCGTTTAGGCTACAAACTCTAACAAACATCCATCCATCTAAACTTTCGCATTTATAATATTAGTATGATTGCTGACATCCTACATAACAGTGTTTACGCTTTATTATAGTTTTATATGGTATGTCCAGGTGACACCGGAGGACTTAAAAGCGAATGCAGAGTATATAAAGATGGCGGACCACTACGTGCCGGTTCCCGGCGGCTCTAACAACAACAACTACGCTAATGTTGAACTGATTGTTGATATCGCTGTTAGGACACAAGTACAAGTAAGTAAGAAATATTATACCATTTTAACACACAAACATACACACGGAAACATTTTTTTTTTTGTAGAAAATGTTAGTAAACTTTTAGTTAATTTACTAATATTTCCTATAACCATTCCGACTAAGCTCTCGGCTTGTGCTAGGATATGGTTCACGACAATCGAATGGCGGGATTCGAACCCTCGACCGCAAGATCGGTAGTCCGTACCCCAAACCATTAGGCTATTGGCGCTATACATTAACACAAGAATGACAGATACTAATATAGTTTTGTATATCTACTCATTATGTCCCTTTTTAGTAGTTAGTAGTTCATTAAAGATTACTGAATCAGTTCACAGTTCAGTTCAATTTGTATTTGTATAGAGTTATGATTTTGCAGGAATTCTATGGTACCCCTTACAAGTACATATAAATAGGACCATAAAGGGCGTTAAGGCGCCCTTACATGTCTGGTGCTCTGGGCGAAAACCCCATCTCACATTCTAATGTAGGTTTTGATTTCAACCTGCGAATTGCAGCGTTCGACTTTTTGGCTCATATCAAGTCGATTTGGCTCATATAGGGTCGCATCTTAAAAAATATTGTTAAAAAAATCACTTAATACAAAATATACAGAACTAATTAATGAAAAAAAAACTTGTCCAAAAGAAGAAAGCTCAGTTAGTGTGGCCACCAGCTTGTCACTGAAGGCCGCGCTTTTAGCTAGTATGTATACAGGGGCAGTATCTTAACGTCTCTGAGTGCGGTAAATGAATGTTTCATGTGTAGGCAGTGTGGGCGGGCTGGGGCCACGCGTCGGAGAACCCCAAGCTGCCGGAGCTGCTGCACCGCGCGGGCGTGGTGTTCATAGGCCCGCCGGAGAAGGCGATGTGGGCTCTGGGAGATAAGATCGCCTCCTCCATTGTCGCACAGACGGCGGATATACCAACGCTGCCTTGGAGTGGGAGTGGTAAACTCAAAAAAATCATTAAGAATACTGTAACTAACATATTGTTTGATAATGTCTCAGTTTAAATAATTTTACCTGAAATTTCGTAATATTTGTAATTTTTTTGCATTATATCCCTTTTCGATTTAATGTTTTATCATAAAAATATTTCATCTCTAGACTAAAACAATATATAACTTTGTGTTACTTCGCTAATACGGCGAATTAAATGCTTGCTCGTATGTATAATAGTAATGTGTTGTGTAGAACTGAAGGCCCAGTACAACAGCAAGAAGATCAAGATATCCTCGGAGCTGTTCGGCAAAGGCTGCGTGTCCTCGCCGGAGCAGGGCCTGCAGGCTGCCCACAAGATTGGTAACTAAATACTGCCACCGACATATATTATTATTAAAAATGCAATATTTTGTATGGATGGATGTCTGTTACACATCTTCAGAATTGAACGGATCTCGATGAAATTTGAACATGAACATAGTTTGGTAGCAAGACATAGGCTATTTTTTTAATTACGCACAGACGGAGTCGCAAGCAAAAATTTATATGAAAATGTAAAAACTCTTAAAAATTGTATTTTAAAAAACTTAAATTCCATTTAAGTGTTTGTAAAATTTTATTGCATTTTTATTTTAAAATGCATTTTATTTGCATTGAAAAAACCAGCAGTATCCTAAAAATGTGTTTGTTAACAGGTTTCCCCGTGATGATCAAGGCATCCGAAGGAGGAGGTGGTAAAGGTATCCGGAAGGTGGAGAACCCCGACGACTTCGGCAACATGTTTCGACAGGTACATAATGCTTCTTATATAGCTTCGTGACAATACGATTTGCATACAAAAAAATACATTAACCAAAGTCAATAGCTATAATTTAACATATATGTATGTTATAATACATTTAGATTTTTAGTTTTAGACTAGCTGTTCCCGTGCGGCTTTATCCGCATGAAATTAAGAAAATTTTATATTATCGTTCACATTTGTGAAATTATCAATAGCAAGTGACATGACATGACAAACCTTGACAGTCTTGCTTCCTTGATGTATTTTTACCCCCTAAATTTAATGGCGTGAAAATATATAGTCTAAAGCGTGACGAAAGTGTAGGGTTTTTTATTAAAATAATAATTATTCTAAAACATGCTGTAATTGCTTACATCTTAGGCAACAAAGAAGTGTGTGTTTACGCTTTATTATAATAGTATAGATTTCTTTATTGGTTATTTGGCATATGACCATAGAAAAGGAAATAAAACATTATTATGACACCGACAGTACAAAAGTCTTTTGAATTTTTTGACCTTAGCAGGATGACGTTAGTGGTTTGTAATAAATTATTTTGAGTCTCATTGGGTAGGAAATCAAAGTCCTCGACTGTAACAGTAGATATAAAATGCAATGTTTCTTTCAGGTGCAAGCGGAGGTGCCAGGCTCTCCCATCTTCGTGATGAAGCTGGCCAAGTCCGCAAGACATCTGGAGGTTCAGCTCTTGGCTGATCAATATGGTATACTAGTTTTTCCATGCGGCTTCATCCGCAGTTATAAAAAGTTTAATATTATAAAATGTTTTATTTTCCAAAAAAATCAAATGCATAAATGACAACGACGCCTTTGCCATTTGATAATAATTTCCGTTACTACGTACTACGTCATGAGTGTAGGAATTTTGATTAAAAAATGTATTCAAAAATACTCTGTGTCTGCTGACATATATAACGAAGAAGTGTGTTTACGTCTTGTAACTATGGGTTATACTACTATGCATTACAAAAAAATTAAGACATGCGAGAGAGGGAGAGAGAGAGATAGAGAGAGAGAGAGAGAGAGAGAGAGAAGGAAAGCTGTCTTTTTTCAATGTATTGTCCATGTTACTTTATTAATAGTAGAATGATGTAGAAGTAAATTAAATCGTTCAGGCAATGCGATATCCCTGTTCGGTCGCGACTGCTCCATCCAGCGCCGGCACCAGAAGATCATAGAGGAGGCGCCCGCCGCCGTCGCCAGGCCCGAGGTCTTCATTGAGATGGAGAAGGTAACCACATCTCATCAGAATATTACATGAATTCTTTCACTTACCAACTATTTATATAATTTATTGTCCCTTTTGTATACATTTCATAGAAGTCTTGGCTCCTGTAGTAGGTTGCCCTCACAGAAGCCAATTCCTTCCCCAATTACATTATATTTCATTTAATATGCATATGATTTTTTTATGGTCCTACAAAAATAACTTCTATACTATGTCTTATTGTAAAATCAAAATTGATTCGAGTGTTAATTGTTTTTTTTATAACATAAGGTGGCAAACGAGTAAGCGGCCACCTGAATCCGCCAAAATGGCGAAGCGACCACTGCCCATAGACATCCGCAATTGCAGATGCGTTGCCTACCCTTATCCAACGGAGGAGGAGACGCACATAATGAGGATTTTTCCCCTTCCTATGCATCTCCTCCACTGTTAAATCACTTCCCGATGCCATCCTCTCCTTTAAGAAAAGGATGGCAAAGAGAAAGGGACTTAAATTAGGCCTCCGGAACCACTCATCAAACGAAATACGGAATTGCTTCCATTTCACGCTTGTCTTCTGTGTGGTCGTGGCATTACACCGGGCGTGCCGGCCCATTCGACATTTGTCACTCGTTAAAGAATCTCAAGAAACGGACGCAATTTTTAAGTATAAATGGGATAGACATTTTGGGGGCGGGGCATATATCTGACACGCCCCTTTATTGCATTTAACCACAAACTATAAAATTTGTATCTTATGATATGGTCGTGAAGCAAATTTCGACTAAGTTTACGGGGTAGCTACTTCAAGTAGTTTTTATATCTAATACATTTTTTTATTGTTTAGAGGGCGGAAACTACCCCCTAGTGACTTGTTAGAAGTGTTTAACAGACTAGTTTATTACTAGAAGTTTACTAGAAATGGTTAAAAAAATCTACTAATTTTAGTAATAAAAAAAATGACTTTTGTTATAGGCGGCTGTACGTCTAGCCAAGATGGTGGGGTACGTAAGCGCGGGCACAGTGGAGTATTTATACGAGCAGGCGACCGGCGCCTACTACTTCCTGGAGCTGAACCCTCGCCTGCAGGTGGAGCATCCCTGCACGGAGATGGTGGCCGACGTGAACCTGCCCGCTGCGCAGCTGCAGGTAAAATTCGCCAAAATGGCGAATATACCGCTTCTAAGTATTTTGCAGATGCGTTGCCTACATTTCATCAACATGTACAAAGAAAGATTTTCCTTGTCTATGCCTCTTATTGTCAAGTTCACTTCTTTCCATCCTTTCCTTGTACAATAAGGGTGGAAAGACGATTAAAATGAGTCCTCCGGGACGCACATTCATTAGAGTATACGCGGAATTGCTTCCACTTCCCGTGTATTTTCTATGTTAAGTGGTGTTTGTCAGGGTAGATGACGTGTCCTCTGTCCACAGATAGCGATGGGTCTGCCGCTGTACCAGATCAAGGATATCCGGCTGCTGTACGGGGAGTCCCCCTGGGGAATGTCGCAGATCAGCTTCGATGAGCCGAAGCAGCGGCCCTCGCCCTGGGGACATGTCATCGCAGCCAGGATCACATCGGAGAACCCTGATGAAGGTTACCTTCTCTCATATACATATGGAATTTTGGATGGATGGATGTCTTACTATGTATCTCCGAACGTGTATGTAACAGTTTAAGTGATCTCGATGACAGGTATAAATATAGATATAGACTGGTAAAATGTAGATTTTTATTTTTAACTAGCTTTCGCCCCTAAATTTGTCCGTATGCAATTAAAAAAATCTAAACCACACATCTATATCTTGCATTGAGGCCCGTGCAGCAGTTTAGGCTGCAAACTCTAATCCATCCATTTATACTTTCGCATTTATGATATTAGTAAGATTAGTGCAATAGTAAGAAAACCAGCGTGGCCTTCAGTGGCAAGCTGGAGGTCAGCTCAGCCTTCTTCTTTTGGCCAAAAAACTGATTTGTATTTTTGTATACATTTAATATGTTTTGTAAATTTGTTTTTTTTTGGTCCATAACCACAGTTTTATTTATGCAAAAGCTAGTATTTATGTAAATTGTATCTGTTAGGTTTCAAGCCGTCGTCCGGCACGGTGCAGGAGCTGAACTTCAGGTCGTCGAAGAACGTGTGGGGCTACTTCAGCGTGGCGGCGTCGGGCGGCCTGCACGAGTTCGCCGACTCGCAGTTCGGACACTGCTTCTCCTGGGGCGAGACCAGGGAGCAGGCCAGGGAGTTAGTATACCTGCACACAGTTTCTTTATATTCATTTATATCACTTGTAATAAAAAAGAAAAAGAAATTATCCGACTGACTGTTTTTCGAATTTGTGTAAGATTTTTATGAAAGTTTGTAACGGCCTACAGCCTAGACGACTGAACTGATTTTGTCAAGTATGGTGTCATTTGATTCGTCTTATTCTCCAGAGTGTCATATGGTATATTCAAATGGCACAAAACGCATACACGTGCTGTAAGACTAAAAAAATTAAAAAAAAAACGTCTCTATATTTTTTCATTAGCAATGGAAAATCTCAGGTTTCAATACTGAAATGAAAAAAAATATTTATTAAACCAAAAAGATTGTACAAAACAAATAACTTTGACAATACCTTAAAATTATACATAACAGGAAGTTAAAAATTCGTTATTTTAAGTTATTCTAGCTAAGCTTATCTGGTGATGGCCACACTAGGCAATGCCTGTATCGTGGCCACCGGAATTCACAGATACAATATTATCTGACCTCTACTGACTATACTAATACTCAAGTTCAGGTCTAGTTGGTTTATTTTTAATTAAAGTTTCTATTTTTGCGTTAATTCAATGATATTGGTTGTTAACTTCTTGATGATGTCCAGGAACCTGGTGATAGCGCTGAAGGAGTTGAGCATCCGCGGTGACTTCCGCACCACGGTGGAGTACCTCATTACGCTGCTGGAGACGCCCGCCTTTCAGGAGAACTACATTGATACCAGCTGGCTCGACGCACTCATCGCTGAGAGGGTAAATATTACCCTACTACGCCATCACTATGCTACCACAACATCACCACTACGACACCACTACGCCATCACTATGCCACCACTACATCACCACTACGACACCACTACGCCACCACTATGCCACCACTACGCCACCACTATGCCACCACTACGCCACCACTGCCACCACTATGCCACCACTACGCCACTAACAGCAATCTAGGTTTAGTGTTCCTTTTAGTAAACAGCTGTTGCGATTTTGAGTACGATCGTAAAAACCGCTGTTAACTTAGTGAGCAAAATGTATAAACGAGTTCATAATTTATCGTATTCTCAGGTACAATCAGAGAAGCCGGATGTGATGCTGGGCGTCATCTGCGGCTCCATCCTCATCGCTGACAGCATCATCACAACGCACTTCCAGGAGTTCAAGAGTGCGTTAGAAAAGTACGTTACTATCCTTGCGATCAAATATGAAAGAAACATAACTAAAGTTCATGACGTCATATGTACAATCGGGGAACTTGGCGGTAATCCACTTTAATACAGTTAAAATGTTCCCTACGCTTACGCGGAACAAGAACCAATATTTAGATTTACAGTGTTTAAATATGTTTGAAAAAAGTTGAAAAACGGAATTTTCATTACTATCCAATCGTTTACGTAATTCCTTTGTAAGAAAAGCATTTTGTTTCGTTGAAAAATGTGATATTTTCTGTAATTGAAACACCGCTTGTTTCCGCGACTGTACATATGTTGTTACATACAGAGGTCAGATCCAGGCGTCAGGCGCGCTGTCCAACTGCGTGGAGGTGGAGCTGATCCACTCGGGGCACAAGTACCGCGTGCAGGCCACCAAGTCCGGACCCACCTCCTACTTCCTCGCCATGAACGGTAGCTTCAAGGAGCTGGAGGTCCATAAACTGACGGATGGAGGTACAGTTCCTTAGCTTGTATGTGCGATAGAGTTATTCGCAGTTATAGTTATAGTTGCGAAGTCTTATTTGATTCTAGACCTGACAAAAAAATCGTTGATTGATCCGAAAATATCAAAAATAATTATATAAAAAACTTAAACTACATAATAATAAGGTATTTTTTGTTATTTGAATGTTGATGGTTATAAGAACTTGAAAGTTCAATTAAAACAAAGTTATTGTAATTACATGTAAAGTCGCACGGAACAGCTAGTCTTACATAATGTGTCAATCTTACTAAAATAAATGCGAAAGTTTGGATGGATGTATGTTTGGTTGAGTTTGTAGCCTAAACAGCTGAAAGGATCTCGATGAAATTCGGCACAAACGTAGAGGATAATCTGGGAAAACACAGGCTAACTTTGTTTTTTTTAAAATTCCGCTCGGACAGAGTCGCGGGCGAAAGCTTGTATTAATAATAATTTTGATACAGGTACATTACTATCGATGGATGGAGCTTCATACACCACATATCTAAAAGACGAGGTGGACAAGTACCGCATTGTCATCGGCAACCAGACGGTGGTGTTCGAGAAGGAGAAAGACCCCTCAAAGCTTCGCGCACCTTCCGCTGGGAAGCTCATCAATACACTGGTCGAAGACGGCGGACATGTGGACAAGGGACAGCCGTATGCGGAAATAGAGGTGAGTGAGACGAAAGATATCACTTCGTTCTTCTCCCTCCCTTTCCTCCTCGTACTCTCGTAGAGGCGGTAGTTTTTAGTATCTATCTTTCGGGTTTAGAAGCGCTCGATCATTTTCAATATACCCATCTCTTTCTAACCGGTATACTTCATGTACATAACTAAAGTTGCTCTTACATGTGATTCCTCAAAACATGCTTATGTCATGATACGGAGTAACAGACAGCATTTGACTATTCGTATGGTGCAGGTGATGAAAATGGTGATGACGCTGATGGCGCCCGAGGCGGGCAAGGTGACATGGACGCTGCGGCCCGGCGCCGTGCTGGACATGGGCGCCCTCATCGGCACTCTCGGTAACTATCTTCTATCTATATCTATACTTCTATACTAATATTACAAATAGGACTCATTTGTAATTTTTTCATGTGTTGCAATAACTTAAAAACTACGGAGACGATTTAAAAAAAAAACTTCGTTAGAAAGGTAATTTATCTGTCGGACGAAGTCATGAGCAATAGCTAGTATGACATAATTTAATATATTTCCTTAAAAAAATAATAAATAACGTATATTTTGTACAGAGTTAGATGACCCGTCCCTGGTGACGACGGCGCAGCCCTACAAGGGGCAGTTCACCCTGGAGGACAACCCCCACCTCTCGGAGAAGCTGAACCACGCCCACAATAAGTTCAGAGCTATATTAGAAAACACGCTGTCCGGTAAGAAAATTAACTTAAAATTAAAAATTATATTCAATTTTGATTTAAATTTCATATAAGTTAAGATTTTTCTATACTAATATTATAAAGAGTATAGATTTTTGTATGTATTGAAAAACCTCAAAAAATACTGAGCCGCTTTCAAAAATTCTTTCATCATCATTTAGTTATTAAATTCACATAGGCAAAGTCGCGAGCAACAGCTAGTCTATATATATTTGAATGTAACAGGTTACTGCCTACCCGAGCCGTACAACACGCCGCGGTTGCGCGAAGTCGTGGAGAAGTTCATGCAGAGTTTGAGAGACCCTTCACTCCCATTGCTGGAGTTACAAGAGGTAAAGAATTAAATTCCAACTTAAATCTAGTAATTTTAAGCCAGTCCTACCAAATTCTTGTAAAAAGTCTGATAATCCAACTTGTAATGTGATGGAAATATATTTTGTTATATTATCTGGTAGTGACGTCATTTTTAAGCTATCCGAGACTCTATCAGCCAGTTATGGGACAGAAACCTTTTAATATTATCAAGGAACTGATGTTTAGGTGCTGTCGTCGACGTCAGGTCGCATTCCAGTGGCTGTGGAGAAGAAGGTGCGGAAACTGATGGCGCTGTACGAGCGTAACATCACGAGTGTACTGGCGCAGTTCCCAAGCCAGCAGATCGCAAGCGTCATAGACCAGTTAGTTGTGACAGACCATTTTTATTCTTAGTCTCTGAGATGCTAAATATTTAATGAGAGAGTCCTTTGATAGATTTAGAGCCTGTCTTACCAAATTGTAAATTGTCTGATAACAAACGTCTAAAATGTGTCATAGAAATAACGTATTGTGTTATAAGGTAACGTGACAGTGACGTCATTGATTTATTTATAAGCTATCCGAGCCTCTATCAGCCAGTGGTGGGACAGGCATTTAATGAGATAAATTACTAAAGGACTACTACAATAGCATTTAAACATTTGATAGAAGGCATCAAATGGGATGTTGTGACGTCACTTTGTACGCATTTGCGTACGTCCACGTTCCTATTACGTACTCGTATATCAAATATGTAGCGAATTATTTATTGACAGAAAACAACACAAGAGGGCGCTATATGCATTATAATATTTTGACATATATCTGACATTAGTTTTTAATGTTGTTTTTATAAGATATTAGCTTTGCCCGCGACTTTGTCCGCTTGAAATTAAATCAAGTGAATATTCTGTGTTCTTGTAGACTGTTCTATAATTATGTTCCCGTGCGGCTCCATCCGCATGAAATTATGAAAATTTTATTTTATTGTTTACATTTGTGAAATTATCAATGGCAAATGTCAAAATGACATGACATGACAAACTTTGGCAATCTTGTTTCCTTGATGTTGGCAGCAACTTATGGACTCTTTCCCACATTAGGGTTTTTATCCAAAATATTTACCCCCTAAGTTTAATGGTGTGAAAATATATAGCCTAAAGCGTGACGTAAGTGTAGGGCTTTTCATTAAAGAAATAATTATTTAAAAATATGCTATAATTGCTGACATCGTAGGCAACAAAGAATTGTGCGTTTACGCTTTATTATAATAGTATAGATAATTTATGTCAAATTTTATTGAGATCTTCTATCCTGTTCTGGAGATACCTTTAAACATATTCATAATATAAGTAAGATAATCTGAAATACAAATAGGGTATATGTTATGTGTCCAGTCACGCGGGTTCACTGGCGAAGCGCGCGGACCGGGACGTGTTCTTCATGAGCACGCAAGCTCTGGTGGTGCTGGTGCAGAGATACAGGTACCTGCCGACCTTGTGTCACCTTCAAATAATTACACTACAAAATTCTGACTATATAAGCAAAGAAAAAACTTAGAAGTACCAAGTTTGGTAGTAACATTCACTATTTTGTATGAAAACTGGCTTTCGCCCGCGACTTCCTTCGCGTGGAATAAAAAAAAACTAAGTAGTCTATGTATTCTTCCAAACCATACTCTACGTGTATGCCGAATTACATCAATATCCGTTCAGCCGTTTAGGATACAAAATCTAACAAACATCCATCCATTTATCCATCTAAGATTTTGCATTTATTATATTAGTAAGATTAGTAAGACAGTGTTATCGTATGATAAATAATGTTTTTCACATTGAATTAGGTTAGCTAGTTTTTTTTTTTTATAACACAAGGTGGCAAACGAGCAAGCGGCCTCCTGAAACCGCCAAAATGGCGAAGCGACCGCTGCCCATAGACATCCGCAATTGCAGATGCGTTGCCTACCCTTATAAGACGGAGGAGGAGACGCACATAAAGAGAATATTTCCCCTTCCTATGCATCTCCTCCACCGTCAAATCCACTTGCTCTTCCCAACCTCTCTTTAAAAGAAAAGGGTGGTAAAGAGAAAGGGACTTAAATTAGGCCTCCGGCACCACACTCATCAGACGAAACACGGAATTGCTTCCATTTCACGCCTGTCTTCTGTGTGGTCGTGGTATTACTGGGGGCGTGCCGGCCTATTCGTGCTAAGATGTTAAAGCGGGCACTACCACTGTCAATAGTTAAAATTCTACTAGCCTAGAAAACATAATTTGAATACTAAAATAACTTTTGATGATGGATGTTTTTTTGTCAGGAATGGTATACGAGGCAGAATGAAGGCAGCGGTACACGACTTACTCAAGCAATACTATCAAGTAGAGAGTAACTTCCAACTTGGTAAGTGAAAATATATGTATACACTAGCTTTCGCCCGCGGCTCCGTCCGCGTGGAGTTCATAAAAACAAAAGTAACCTACATCTATGCGAAATTTCATCCAGATCTATTCAGCCGTTTAGGATACAAAGTCTAACAAACATCCATCTATCCATCCATCCATTTAAACTTTCGCATTTATAATATTAGTAATGTATTTTTATAACAGACTTCTAATGTATATTTTAATTGTATTATGTAGGTTCATACGACAAATGCGTGATGGCGCTGCGGGACCGCTACAAGGACGACATGCAAGCGGTCGCTAATATTATTTTCTCACACAACCAAGTATCCAAGAAAAATCTACTGGTAATTTTATACGAATTTGTAAATTATTTTAGTTGTACTTAAATACTGACTAGTCTATGTGTTTATCCATATTTTTAGTTATTGAGTTGCCCGCGAATTCTGTGAAATTAAAAAAGAAAATCTTAGTTAGTAGTCTGAGTACTTCTAGATTATGTCACATTTCATCCGGATCCGTTTAGTTCTTTGGCTGTCAAGTCTAACAAACATCTATCTATCTAAATTTTGCCGTTTATTTTAATAAGATTTCATTGTTTCATAAATTAGTATTTGACTAGAATACAAACTAATAATAGTAACACACCACATTAATTTTTGTGTTTTTGTAATTTCGAACAGAAAACTAAATCTAATTATTTGTATTTAGTAAAATTAATTAAGTTTGGATATATTTGTCTAAATAGTTTATGATATAGGTGACGTTACTGATAGACCACTTGTGGTCCAACGAGCCCGGGCTGACCGACGAGCTGGCGGCCACGCTCAACGAGCTGACGTCACTGCACCGCGCCGAGCACAGCCGCGTCGCACTGCGCGCACGACAGGTACATCACTGCACGCATATGTAGCATATGAAGCACATGTCGAATACTTAGCATATGTTGCATATGTAGTATATGTAGCATTTGTAGCACACGTCGCGTACGTAGCAATCGTAGTATATGTAGCATATGTAGCACACGTAGCATATGTAGCAGATGTAGCATATGTAGCACACGTAGCATACGTAGTATATGTAGCATATTTAGCATTTGTAGCACACGTCGCATACGTAGTATACGTAGTATTGGTAGCATTCGTAGCACTTCGCAATTCGTAGTAGACGTAGCATACGTAAAATACGTTGCATACTTTGCATTCGTAGCATATATCATATACGTAGCATATGCAGCATACGAAGCATACGAAGCATACGTAGCCTACATAGCACATGTAGCATACGTATCACACGTAGTTATATACTGTATTATGTACATAGGTGCTGATAGCCGCGCACCAGCCGGCCTACGAGCTGCGTCACAACCAGATGGAGTCCATCTTCCTCAGCGCCGTCGACATGTACGGACACGACTTCCACCCTGAGAACCTGCAGAAGCTCATCCTCTCCGAGACCTCCATCTTCGATATACTGCACGACTTCTTCTACCACACTAATGCAGCGGTAAATATAGTACACTTTTATACTAGCTTTGGCACGCGACTTCGTGCGAAAAACAAAATTGAGTAAGAAAGAAATCATTTAGCAGTTTTAGATATTACAAACATCTATCCATCCATTATCATAACTTTCGTAATAATAGTAAGATTTAAATAGGTTATTGAAAGAAAACAAATGTTATGCTGATGTTTATAATATCATAGATATATTATACATTGATAGGAGTAAGAGATAAACTGGTTTTATTAAGTTCTGGTGAATTTTTTCCGTTATTACTTAAGATCGCAACAGCGTGTATAATGAGTAGGATGACTTTAGTATCTGAAATTAAAATTATTAATAATTATTATCTTAACTTAGACATATACTAACAAATTATTACAATTTCTTCCTATCTATGTATACTATATTAACATAAAGTATACACACACTTTGTTATGTAAAATGTCAGAAATCATATTGTATTTTTAATTTATTTTTTTAATAAAAAGCCCTACACTGACGATACGCTTTAAGCTATATATTTCTACGCTATTCAACTTAGTGACAAAAACTACAAGCCAAACAAATAAGATTGCCGTGGTGAAGGTAATTTTTAGTCAATTTGAAAAATCTTTATAAGTAAAACTCTAAATTGTCATTACAAATGACATAAGCAAAAAAAAAAATTTGATGACGAAAGAGGAAAGATTTGTATTTTTATATATATTGAAATAACACAAAAACTACTGGGCCGATTTTAAAAATTTTTTAACTGTTTGATAATTTATCTGTGAATAACATAGGCTATATTTTTAAATTTCACGCGGGCTAAGTCGTGAGCAACAGCTAGTTATAAATAAAATGCGAACTTACGGCAACAAATCGTTCCATATCAAAGACGAACATGTTAAACGCGATGATTTCCTTCGGTCGTTGCGCGCGCAGTATCATGTAGAGCAGTGCTCTGCGCGGCCACAGCTGCGGCACCGCCTCCCAGCCGCAGCAGTACAGCAACGTCGCCGTCTCGGAGCTCTGTATACACTGCTCTGTTATAGCTGTTAGGTCCACGCACTTATAATTGACTCTCTAAATATCCGAACAAAATTGGCACTTAAATTATGTCAATCAGTCTGCTTATTGAGTTTCAATAGTAGATGCAAAAGAGAATAAATATTTTATTGTCAAATGTTACCAAAATGATAAATTATTTTTATTTTTCCGAGAATTTTTTTTGCTTTGTAGTTTGAAGATAAAAAAAAAACTTAAGTTCACACAAAAAGGTATAAATATAAATTACCACATCTTTCAACTTAGAAGAGTAGCGACATGGTATGTAGATGTAAGCTATTGTGCCGAGTGTATATACTATGTACTTGGGATCTAGTTCGTAGCCCTGAGAATGAATAAAAAATAGTTTAAATCAATAAATAAACATATTAACATTTAATAGTTATTTAAATAGATATATTTAGCATAGTAACTAAAATATAGGATTGGTCAAGAGGTCAATAACTACTACGTTTACCTCAGTGACGTGGTACATGCAGGTGCATATTTGTATCATGGTAGCGAATAGGATAATGCCAATGTACACGTTGAACACTACTTGTATCCTGTCCACGTAGCTGAAATAATATTGTCAACCACTGTACCGTAAAGTTGGTTTTTTTTATAGAATGTGCCAAATTCAACTTTAATTACTACTAGCTGTTGCCCACGACTTCGTTTGCGTGATATTAAGATAAAAATAGCCTATAATATGCCCGTCTATGTCAGCTACCCTTCAATAAAAGTCCGGACGAAATCGGCCCAGCCGTTTCGGTCGTTGCCCATCGGAGATAGACAGACAAAGAATTTTCAAACGCGATTTTCGATCAGCAACTTAAATACATCCCGAAATCTTGATTTTTCGATATTACAAACATAAACGCCTGTTATTAATACCTGAACGCTCTGCATTGACTTTGTATAACAAAAGAGATGCGTTCACGCATTTGTTCCTCCGTTTGCGATTTCATTGCGTCCTCCATAGCTGCGCAGAACAGCCTCATCTTGAGACACGCGTGGTTAATGCATAACCCAAAAAACGCATCATATCCCATAAAATTGACCAAATAGAGGAAGGCACAGTACGCTGTGTAGACAGTCATTATCTCAAAGTACGGAGAGATGAATACAGCTTCCGGTTCTAAGAAAGGTATGGCGACGTCATGAGCGAAGTATTTCGGTGGTTCAGATTTAGCAAGGAAGATGTAGGTGTTCATGACGGATGCTAGGAATGGGAAATTGAGAACGCAGAAGGAAATGAAGGCGATGTAGCCACGCTCTGCGTATACCCGGCTCGTTCTGATACCCTCGGCTACGATGGCGCGGTGGTGAACGGGTAGATTGTTATATACCGCGTAGTCTATATTCATTTCTTCTATTAGACTTAAAGCATTCTTCTCGTGGTAGTTCATCATGATTACCTACAAGAAGTAATTAGAATAAATATTATAAATGCGAAAATTTAGATGGATGGATGTTTGTTACAGTTTGTAGCCTAAACGGATTAACAGATTTCGATGAAATTTGGTATAGATGTAGAGGATAGTCTGAAAAAACACGTAAGCTACTCACTTTTGTTTTTTTTTAATTCCACGCGGAAGGAGTCTCGGCCGAAAGCTAGTCTATACTAATATTATAAAAAAAGAATTGATCGATTGAAGAAATTTGTATTTTTGTACGTATTGGAATCACGTAAAAGTACCGGTCCGATTTTGAAAATTCTTTCACCATTATAAAGATATTGTGTCTATTTCGTTAGTCAAAAATTACTGGAACGATTTCAATTCTTGCACCATTTAGATGCTGTTATCACTGAGTAACAGACTATATTTTTAAGCATTAAAACTATTAAATCTCACCTTTAAAAATCCTCCAAGGAAAGGTCCGCCAACTGTGCTCTGTTTTATAACGTTAACCACGTCACCAACCATCCAGAATCTATATATGGCGATCGTAATGAATGCAGCAAATGGTGCCCCAGATAAAGCGATCATTACTGAAATAAACAATTATTACTTTCGGATGCAAGCAAAAAATGGATATATTATAGGAATAGGATTAAGCGCCAATAGCCTAATGGTTTGGGGTACTGACTACCGATCTTGCGGTCAAGGCTTCTAATCCCGACATTCGATTGTCGTAAACCATATCCTAGCACAAGCCTAGAGCATAGTTGGAATGGTTAAAGGAAATATTAGTAAATTAACTATTTTTTTTATTTAAAAAAAATAAAATAAAAAAAGTTTAAGTTATAATATTATTTATACTTCCATAGAACCAACGGATTTTTCGTTTTTCCGGGTTAGGGTAAATGGCGGCTATAATCATTGCATATGTAGCGAGTTTATAAGTCTCGTGAAATGGCTTGTAATGGACCTCCATTGCTAAAAATATTAAATAAAAACCAATACGTCTTTGCTGGCTCTTATATGGTATTACCTGATTAAGGAACGCATGAAGTTCACTCTTTTTATATAGTTTGATTTCAATCGTCCGCCCTCCGGCGTTAAATTAGTCTAATTTAGCGCCTTAGGGAGTTAAAATGGCTACTTAATTATGCTCTATGACTATTAATGTCTGCAATTTGATATCAAAGGATATTTGTGATTATCCTATTCATAAATTACCAGATTATGTAATTAATTGTCGACATTATAATTATGGAACAATAATTGGTCTTTGTCTTCTATGAAATTAAAAAAATTAATTATAACATATAAAAATTGTAATTACCTAAATAAATGTATCTTCTAAAAAATTGTACGTTTGTAAAAAATATGAAAACCCATGTCTTTCTCTTCTCTTCCTTCAATAGAAAATTTCAGACAGTTACATTTCTAAATTGTCTATATAAATTTCTTTGTGGAAGTCTGTACTTTAGACATTAATATAATTGTAACACACTTTGACCATTATCGCCAGAATGGCGCGCTATTCTAACATGTCTAAATGTGACAGATGTCATAGGGACGTATACCCTCCAGTACTGATGTTAACAATACTTATGTATGCAGGTGTGTAACGCGGCGCTGGAGGTGTACGTGCGGCGCGCCTACACCTCGTACGAGATCACCTGCCTGCAGCACCTCGCGCTCTCCGGGGAGCTGGGCGTCGTGCACTTCCAGTTCGTGCTGCCCACCGGGCACCCCAACAGGTACTATCGGGGAAACTGACAGTGACCCACATAAAAAACAACACACTTTTAACAACTTTGAACGCATTAAACCGAAACAGAATAACAATTAGGAGGCTTTTAAAGGTGTAGAAAAAATGTCGGTTTATTTTTATACTATTTTCTTATCCAATTCACTTCTACATAATTGGTTATTTACAAGAATAGGCGGAGGTTGTTTCGTTGCAAAACTAGGAACTTTTTCCGTAGTTGGAACACCGCGAATTTCCGTGATTGTACTTGCGAGTCTGGATTCGAAAGTCATTAGCCAACCAGCTAATCTTGTTTCCTGTTGCCAGGATCCCTATCAGCCAATCAGAGATCGAGCTATCATCAGCCCAGGACGCGGAGGGTGTGCCGGCGGAGCTGAGCGCGGCCGCCATGCGCAAGTGTCACCACCGCACAGGAGCCCTCGCGGCATTCCTCTCCTTCGAGCAGTTCGCACAGTACGCGGATGAACTGCTGGACCTGGTGCATGATTTCGCCAGCTCCGCTACTGTTAGAAAAGAGGTAGATACTGTATATCTATCCAACGTTTAAGATATGTGATGGAAATATCGGATTTTGTTCCTTTAATTGACAGTGGTGTCATTTTTAAGCTATCTGAGCCTCTATCAGCCAGTTTGGACAGGGCCTAAATGTGTTAATTGCAGTTTTAAAAGTTGTAATATATTTACAGGATTTACAAGCGCTGCAAGATGGCAGCGAAAGTCGCGAGAGTACCAGCATTAATGTGGGAATGGACTACAAGCAGATTGTAGATGCGACTGATGTGGTCAGTATTGTTTTATCTCAGTAGCAGAGATTCAAACATATAGAGGAGGCAAAGCTTCACTTAAAACATAGCGTTCCTAATCTATATGTTAATATAATTAATTGTATTGTATTCATAGCTAATAAGCGTCAATAAATAATTTTGAAATGAGGAAGTTTATTACAAATTTGTAAAAGGATTTATTACATGTCAATACACGAGGTGGCACTAAATTTGACAACTGACCTTTCAAAGAAAGTACCGATAAGAAAATGTTCACTATGCCTCGTCTCTACATTATTTGAATGTCTGTGGTCAGTAGTTATGTTTATAGAATAACTCTGTTGTATTTCCACAGCCGTTAGAGCCTATCCATATTTTAATGATCGGTGTCCGAGATAACGGTGAGATCGACGACGTGGCCGCGTCGCGTCGCTTCGGCAGCTTCTGCCGCGCGCACAGACACGACCTGCACTCCAAGAGGATACGACGGATCACCTTCATGCTGCTCATCAAGTTAGTATACTGCACGTGGACGTACACGAACGTACAGTACGCATAACGAGTACGTACGAACACACAAATGCGAAACTTTAGATGGATGTTATGTTAGAGGTTGTAGCCTAAACGACTCAAAACATCTCAATGAAATTTGGCATAGACGTAGAGGATAGTCTAGAAGAACACATAGGCTACTCACTATTGTTTTTTAAATTCCACGCGGACGCAGTCGCGGTCGAAAGCTGGTACATTATGTTAAAACTAAACCAAAAACTTTTTTAAATCGTTCAAATAAACTAACTCTAGTTACTAATTTAATAAGAAAAATCATCATTACTTAGTAGAAGACGTTTTACTTGCTAGATTTGATTTTTGTAATGTTTTTGTATAGACGTCAGTTCCCGAAGTTCTTCACGTACCGTGCGCGGAACGACTTCACCGAGGACACGATCTACCGGCACCTGGAGCCCGCCTCCGCCTTCCAGCTGGAGCTGTACCGCATGCGCAGCTACGACCTGGAGGCGCTGCCCACCAGCAACCAGAAGATGCACCTCTACCTCGGCAAGGCGAAGGTACTGCAAGAAGCATCTAAAACTGGTAGTCGTCAGTATTAGGTGGTACGGTAAATACCACGACCACACAGAAGACAGACTTCGAGTATTTCGTCTAGAAGACCAAAAGTCTACTTCCTCTTTTCATCATAATAGATCGATAGAACAAAGCTGAAAGGAGATAAAAGAAGTATCCCCATCAATATGAAATATTATTTTTAATTCACAGGTGAAAAAAGGCCAGGAAGTGACCGACTACAGATTCTTCATCCGATCCATCATCAGGCACCAGGACCTAATCACCAAGGAGGCCAGCTTTGAATATCTACAGAATGAAGGCGAAAGGTATGTAGATTTCTAACATTTTTGAACTCGGTATAAATACCTATCTGTTATATTTACAGTTTTATATAATTGCAGGGTACTGCTTGAAGCCATGGATGAGCTGGAGGTGGCGTTCTCCCACCAGCTGGCGAAGCGCACTGACTGTAACCATATCTTCCTCAACTTTGGACCCACAGTCATCATGGACCCTGCCAAGGTAGAGATCAAAGGCCTACTTTTGGTTTTCTTCTCTTTCTCAACTTTGTCGTACGCGGGGGTATGGATTTGACAGGAGATGGGACGAATAGGTAGAGGAAATATCTTTCCTTTCTGTGTGTTCCTCTGTTTAATAAAAGTAGACAACGCATCTGTAAATGCAGATGTTTTTGTGGAACAGTCGCTTCGCTGTTTTGGCGATTTTCGAAAAACCTTCCCTCCAATACAGTTGTCGTGTAAAGTTTACTAGCGACAATTGAAGCCTTGTTTTCGTTATATTTCCCGTAGATTGAAGAGTCAGTACTGGGCATGGTGATGCGGTACGGCCCTCGACTGTGGAAACTCAGGGTGTTGCAAGCTGAGATACGCTTCACATTAAGGATGGGTAAGTTATTTGGACCTTAAAAACCTTGTTATTTTACTTAAATGTTGATTTTATTGATAAACAATTTTGAACTTTATCGCCTTTGGCTTTAAGGTACAAATTTCCTTGCAGGTCCCGGAGCGCCGACTAAAAACGTCCGTCTTTGTCTCTCAAATGGATCCGGTTACTCTCTAGATATTTACACGTATGAAGAAATCTCAGATCCTAGGACTGGTGTGGTGAGTAACTTATCATCAATACTATTATAATAAAGCGTAAACACACACTTCTTTGTTGCCTAAGATGACAGCAATTACAGATTTTTTTTGAATTATTCTTTTTTAAATAAAAAGCCCTACACTTACGTCACGCTTTAGGCTATATATTTCACGCCATTAAACTTAGGAGGTAAATATTTTGGATAAAAGCCTAATGTGGGAAAGAGACCATAAGTTGCTGCCAACATCAAGGAAGCAAGGTTGCCATATTTTGTCATTTTGACATTTGCAATTGATAATTTGACACATGCAAAGAACAAAATAAAATTTTCATAATTTTATCTGAATGAAGTCGCACGGGAACAGCTACTTTCATTTAAAGGTAAAGAAATAAAAAATAAGTATGGAAATGAATTTAAAAAATTGTTTTTTTTTGCCAGATAATGTTCCACTCGTATGGTGCCCGTCAAGGGCCGATGCACGGACTGCCGATCTCCACACCATATGTCACCAAGGACTACCTGCAGCAGAAGAGGTTCCTGGTACGTACTATACGCTAATACCTAAAATTACTTTGCTTTTGGTTAACACTGACATTCCAAAAGTTTTACGGTTTTAAACAACTAAGAAAATTAAGGAATTAGTACCAAATTAAAAAAAATGAAGGGTTTTCAAAGTAATACTCTTACAACTCGTCTTAGAGGCTTGAAGTACACCAAATGGGCATAATCTATCCCTACCCTTGGTTAAAACTACTACAAATTTGCCAATTTTGACTAATAGAGGCCAGGGGGGTTTAGGGAATCACGGCCAGATTTAGTGACGCGTATGTTTCTATAGTGTTTAATATTTAATCTGCAGGCGACATCTCAAGGCACAACCTACGTGTACGACATCCCGGACATGTTCCGGCAGACCATAGAGAAGCGCTGGCGGGAGTGCATAGAGGAGGGCAGTGTCGATGGTTAGCATCATACGGTGTTTAGGTTTTAAATAAAGAAATCACTTTTAATCGAGTAAAGAAACATGTATTGCGTAATATTTACAGAAAAAAAGACAATGATAAAAGTTTGACATTTCTCAATTTAAAATTTTATTTCTTCTTTTTCCCAAATGGCATTTAACCTAAAACTATAGAAACTTCTTCGACATACGGAGTTAGGAATCCTATGATTGTAGTGAGATGTAACTGAAGGTTGTGCTGCAGGTCCGGTGCCGGATAATGTGATGACGTCAGTGGAGCTGGTGCTGGAGCCTGATGGAGATAGACACGTCGTTGAAGTCACACGACTGCCCGGGCAGAATACTGTGAGCAACAATTTATTTATAAATATACTATATTACTACATTGTGTGTATTACCAGCTTTCGCCCGCGACTCCGTCCTCGTGGAATTAAAAAAAAAACATAAGTAAGTAGCCTATGTGCTCTTCCAGACTATGTTCTACATCTATGCCAAATTTAATCGAGATCCTTTAAGAAGTTTAGGTTACAACCTCTAACAAACATCCATCCATCTAAACTGTCGCATTTATAAAAATAGTAATAGAAATGTGAACTAACTAACCAGATTATGAGTTCCTCCAGACATTTGGTATTAATTAAGCAATTTTAATACGTAGTAACCTCCATCCATACAATACCATTTATGATTTTCTTTTCAGGTGGGTATGGTTGCATGGCGTCTAACCCTGCTGACGCCGGAGTGCCCTTGTGGTCGTGATGTGGTCCTTATAGCCAACGACCTGACACACTACATGGGGTCATTTGGACCTCAGGAGGACTGGCTCTTCTACCGCGCATCGCATTATGCACGACAACATAATATACCTAGGGTCAGTACGCTAACTAACGTATACGTACGCAATTACGCGTATACGCACATAAGTAAGTTAGACAAGGGCGGGTCCAGTTTTGGCGCTAGGGGGAGGGGGGTCACATAGTCGTGGTCAAGTCAAGAGCCAACCAGCTTAACCAACCAGCTCAGGGGGGTCATGACCCCCCCCTGGATCCGCCTTTGTATACAAGCTGTGTTAATTTATTTATAAATAGTTATTTAAATCTATCTATGTATAGTGCTATATACTTTGCTTTGTAGGGTATCAGCAATAGCAGCATATTTATTTATTAAAAGCTTTACACGCTTTACGATATATGTTTTTACGCTTTCAAACTAAGGGGGTTAGTATATCGGAAAAAATGCTAGGCGAGAATGGGACACAAACTACAGACCCATAGTAGCCAAGAAGAAAGATTTCATTCTTAGTTAAATTCTCAGCAAATATCTACATCCTTTGAGTTTTTATGGTAGGCGAATTAATCTGCATGGGAACAGATAGTCCAATATATTTTCACTGTTTAAAGTATTTCTTTTTTATTATTTTTTTTAGATTTACGTGAGCGTGAACTCGGGAGCTCGTATCGGTGTGGCGGAGGAGGTTAAGTCGGAGTTCAACGTCGCCTGGCTAGACGCTGAGAGACCTGAGAGAGGTTTCAAGTCTGTATATTTCATTATTTAACTATTTTATAATATAAAACGTACGTGAAAAATAAAATATGTATTTTTTTAGGTATTTATACTTGACCCCGGAGGCGTATTCGCGGTTAGGTCCGCTAGGGTCAGTGAAAACCCAGCTTATTGATGACGAAGGCGAGGCTCGCTACAAGATTACTGACATTATTGGTATGTACCTTTATTATATTAAAAGTAATAATTGTTAATTGAATAATATCGAAGTTAATATATATGAAGACTGTATATACTAGCTTTTGCCTGCGATTTCGTATGTTGTACGTACTCGATGGGTGCGTGGTTAAACGATACGCGCGTAACAAATCTTTATAAACTTTGAAAATTGGTAAAGAAACAAGATTAATTTCAAAATATTTATAAGATTTCCTTAGTATATTCCTCGAAGTATATCCTGTCTATTTTATATGAAACTAGTTTTTGCTTGCGACTCAGTCCGCGTGGAATTAAAAAAAAATAAAAATGAGTAGCCTATGTGTTCTTCCAGACTATCCTCTACAACTAGACCAAATTTCATCCAAATACTTTCAGTAGTTTAGGCTACAAACTCTAACAATCATCTATCTATCCAAAGTTTCGCATTCATAATATTAGTATGATTTACTAGAGGCAGATTCGAGGCAGCTGGCCCCCTTGCCCACATTTTGTCAACAATGTCTTTATGCTGGTTATTTATCAGGTAAAGAGGATGGTCTTGGTGTGGAGTGTCTGCGGGACGCGGGGCTGATCGCGGGAGAGACCGCCCAGGCTTACGAGGATATCGTCACCATCTCCATCGTTACCTGCAGGGCTATCGGCATCGGATCATACGTCGTCAGGTAAGATATATTATATTGCTAAAGGGTACCACAGAATTGCTAATAACAGTCTCGCATAAAAATCTAAACCACCTTTTCCTTAAACGGTGGTAAAAAGGCAACGTCTTAATATTATTCCTCCAAGTCTTGCAGCACTAATCTGGTACTGAACATTCTTGTCCTCACTAGGTTGGGCCACCGCGTCATCCAGGTGGATTCTTCATACATCATCCTGACTGGATACGCGGCGCTGAACAAGGTGCTGGGCCGCGCGGTGTACGCCAGCAACAACCAGCTCGGCGGGGTTCAGATAATGCACAACAATGGCGTCACGCACGCGGTCGCGCCCACAGACCTGGAGGCAGTCAGGACCGCGCTCAGGTGGCTCTCCTACGTGCCCAAGGTACATTGCTCACATCGCCATCTTTCATGTAGATATGTAGGACATTTGTCATAAGTAGACCATCTGTCATATGTAGACCACTTGTCATATGTAGACCACTTGTCATATGTAGACCACTTGTCATCAGTAGATCACTTGACATACGGAGATCGTTATCAGTAGACCATCAGACATCTTACAGAACATCTGTCATCTTTAGAAGATCTAGGTATAGATGATAGCTAGTCTACTCGTAACAGTCGGTCTAATGATAACATCTGTCATTCATAGACCACGTCATCCATAGACCATCTGTTATAAGACTGACAGAGTTCTTACTCTGACTTTTCACTTTCTGTGTCACCTGTCATTCATAAATCATCAGTCATCTTTAGACCACTTGTCATTGTAGACCATCTCAATTATAGACCACATATATCCGTAGACCATCTGTCATCTATAGAGTATTTTTTCTTTGTTAATGTATAATGTTTATGTTAGGACAAGCTGAGCATGGTGCCGATAATGCGTTGCGCGGACCCCGTGGACCGCGACGTGGAGTGGGTGCCGCCGCGCTCCGCGCACGACCCTCGCCTCATGCTGACAGGAGACGCGCACAGACCAGGATTCTTCGATGCTGGCTCCTTCGATGAGATAATGAGACCCTGGGCTCAGACTGTCATCGCTGGTACGTTTATCAATGCATACAAAATTACAATTTTTGTATAATAAACTAGTGATTGACCGCGATCTTACGATACGATATTATATTAAGATATTAGGTGGTTTTTTGGTCGAAGAATAGTGCATGCTACCTTAACAAGTGCGTTATCGCTTTACTCTTGAAGTCTGTATGAGGCCGGAAACATTGACTGTCAAATCCCACTCATGGGCATCTATATAATTGTAATAAAAGGTTCATATTTTAATAAAAAATGGTATATTCAGGTCGTGCAAGACTGGGCGGTATCCCAGTGGGCGTGATCGCGGTGGAAACTCGCACGGTGGAGTTCACTCTGCCCGCGGACCCTGCCAACCTCGACTCTGAGTCTAAGACAATGCAGCAAGCGGGACAGGTATTGTCGCTTCTCCTCTCTCTCTCTCTCTCTCTGTGTCACCAATCTCTCTGTCTCGCTCTACAATATGTCTTTTCTCCAGGTGTGGTTCCCCGACTCAGCTTATAAAACGTCACAAGCTATAAACGATTTCTCCCGTGAAAACCTGCCCATTATCATCTTCGCAAATTGGCGTGGGTTCAGTGGTGGACAGAAAGGTTAGTATATGTAAAATTTTCCCAGTAGTAAAAACAAACTAGATTTCGCCCACGACTCATTCGGCGTGGAATTAAAATAAAAGTAGTCTTCTTGTTCTTCCAGACTATCCTTCACTTCTATGTCAAATTTCATCGAGATTGGTTTAGTCGTTTAGGCTACAAACTTTAACAAATGTCCATCCATCTAAACTTTCATATTTAAAAGATAATACGTTTTTCAGACATGTACGAGCAAATCTTGAAGTTCGGTGCGGAGATAGTCCGCGCACTCCGCGGTGCTACTGCCCCCGTGTTAGTGTACATCCCGCCGGGAGCTGAGGTGCGCGGCGGCGCCTGGGCCGTCATAGACCCCAGTGTCAACTCACAGCATATGGAGATGTACGCAGACCCTGACGCAAGGTACGCACGCAAGCACGCAAGCACACACGTATGTACGCACGCACGCACGAACGAACGTACGCACGCACGTTCGTATGTACGCACGCACGCACGAACGTACGCACGCACGTACGTATGTACGCACGCACGTACGTATGTTCATATGTATGCGTGTACTGTTAAGAAAGCGCTAGAGGATTGGTGGAACACTAGATTATCGACATCTGTCCCGTACCTATCTGACAGCTGTCAATGTCATTCAGACGTAGAATAGCGCGTAATTCTGGCGGGAAAGCTGAGTGTCTAGTTATAATTTTAATTGTTTAAAAATACTATAACATTTGTAGTAGGGTGGTAACCCATCTGATGAAAAGTCGACGCATTTCATAGGGCCTACCGTCTACAAACGCCTGTCGCGTCACAGCGGCTACCTGTCTCGTGTTAAAAATAAACTCAAGTCCTGGATTATATAGAAAACTCTGTAGTATCCAGGATTTGTTTTTATAAAGTGATTTGCTTGATGTTTACAAAGTTTTCACTCAGATTGTATTATTTTCCTGTAATTTACTATTATCAATAAAATATTTGTATATGTATTTCGATGTGTGAAAATGTTTAGTTTATTCCTGGTGGTATTCCTGTAGTCGTAATGTTTGTTTGTGTGTCAGGGGTGGTGTGCTGGAGGCGGAGGGTATAGTGGAGGTGAAGTTCAAGCAGCGAGACATCCTCAAGACGATGCACCGCATCGACCCTGAGTTGCTGCGGCTCGGAGCCAGAATCTCAGGTATACCAGCAAAAACATCATTTCAAAGAAAAACAAACACTTGTTCTGTTGTACTGAATCTGTTACTAATGATATATGTTTGTTGAAATGGTTTTTAAATAATGATATTATGTTTTTTTGTAGAAATGAAGGAGCAAATGAAGGAAATATCGAAGAATCTAGATAGAAGAGGGTCTATAGATGATGTACTAATCAGAACCGACGCCGGAAAGCAAGGTACGTAATGTGACGTAATAAATTTTTATTTTTATGGTAGTATTATATGTGTAAATGAGATTATTCATGTCAATCGATGTTTCAGCGGAGAGTAAAGTCCGCGAGTTGGAGACAGATCTGCTCGCGGCGGAGAAGACTGTAAAAGCAAGAGAAAAGGAATTAAGTCCTATATATCACGAGGTTAGTGTACACTATAAAAAAAATCTATTTAAAGTTGTATTGTGTTGATTTTATTAATATTTTGAATGATTGTCATTTCAGATAGCTGTACAATTCGCAGAGTTACACGACACAGCGGAGAGAATGTTGGAAAAGGGTTGTATATTTGTAAGTTTTTTTTTTAATTTATATCACATTTTAATGAAAGTGTAACTACAAAAACTCGTGTTAACTCCCGACTCGAAGGACCATATTTCGAAACTGTTAGTTATTTTATTTGTGGTATTTGAAATGTTTATCGTGCCAGGACATAATCCCGTGGCGCAAGTCGCGGCGGCTGCTGCACTGGCGGCTGCGGCGGCTGCTGCGGCAGAAGGCGCAGGAGCGGCGCGTGCAGGCGGCCGTGCTGCCCGCCACGCACATGGACCAGGGCGCCGCCGCCGCCACGCTGCGCCGCTGGTTCACCGAGGACCGCGGGGAGACGCAGGTCGGCCCGCGTCCTCACCACATCACTGATGTCATCTCGCATCACGCTCCACTTACAATCTGATTGACACCATTTAGTATTTGACTATTAAATAACCACTGAGTTGGATTGATGTAAAAGATTTTATATTTAAAACGGCCAATCAAATGGATTTAGTGTATTTCTTCGTCTACATCACTGAGAACCGAACAGAGCATAGAAACGCGTTATGTGTTATCAAGATGATTGCGATCTTCAAACATAAAGAAAGGACCTATAGTCGGGGAAACTGGCAGTTTTCCACCTCAAAAGCTACAATTATTTGAACATTTTGAAACAATACGTGGGACAAAAATAACATCGCAGCTTATAAATGTGAGATATATTGAATGTGTGTCGTGATTGCAGTCCCACCAATGGGAGCACGACAACGAGGCGGTGTGCAAGTGGCTGGAGGCGCAGGCGGGTGCAGAGGACTCGCTGCTGGAGCGCAACCTGCGCGCCATCAAGCAGGACGCCGTGCTGCAGGCCTGCAACACACTCGTCATGGTAACTGTTACACTAACACGCACAAACACACACAAATACACACAAATACGCACAAACACGTACCAACACGCACAAACGTGTATTTACATGCACAACACGCAAAGCACGCCCAAATATGTACAAATACGTACAACACGCACTGCACGTATACATACTTGCGCACGCACTCATCTTAACAACACGCGTTCATCTTACTAAGACGTGCAAAGTAAAAGTAATCCTTATTTCAATCCAATAAAGCTCAATTTTGTTTGCTATTTGAAATCTGCTTTAGTCTACCCCGGTTTTTGTGAACATACGTATGTACGTGTTCGTATACGTACACTAAAGAGTACATACTTTTTCACGTACTCATACTTTATTTACCCGTTTCAATAAACATATGAAAACTTGTTAAACATTTGATAAGAGCAAAGGTTACCAGAGCAAATACTCTTTAAGGTCCGTTCACATATCCGGAACATAGATTAAAACATTTTTTTTTATCAAATAGCAAATAAAATTGAGCTATATTCGATTGAAATAAGGTTCATTTTTACTTTACACGTCTTCGCAAGACTAATACAGACGTATAAAGTAAAATTAAACCTTATTTGAACAGTATTAAGTTCAATACCCTTTGCAATATGCGTTTTATTGTATTTTAAAATTTTTATTAAACTATTGTTATAAATTTCGATACGAATGACTTTTTAAAAAAAATATGACAGTCGAGCGGTAATATGAGCAATACACTAAGGCAACTACGTAAAATATATTGAACGTTCCGTGGCGACGACTAGAAATGTACTGAGCTACTGAGCTCCTGAGGTACTGACGGCTAGAGAGCTTGTTAGCGACTGGGCGACTGAGTGCAACTGTCTAAGCGACAGCCACTAAGCGACTGAGAGCGTCTCACTCCTTGCAAAGACTTTTATAAAACTACCCCCCCACTACTACTTCCGTTTCTATTATTTTGTAACACTATTTTATTGTATAACAGGAGCTGACGCCATCACAACGCGCGGAGTTTGTACGGAAACTGACAGCTTTAGAAATGGAACAATAGACAATTTAGTGTTAAAAATGGAACAAATCAACATATGCATGTTTTTATATGAGTATGTTCGCTTGGCTGTGTACATTTTATACTATGTCGGTTAAAATTATACTTTAAATCTGGGTTGTAAAGTTTATTTTTGATTGCATTGTAATTTGAAAGCAAATTTAATATGATGAAATTTGATTTTAACCTTAAAAATCTCAGATAAATTCCTTAGTCGCTAAATAGTCGAATTTGTATATTTAGAAATGTTTTCTGTATATTTTAAATCTCAAGAACAAAAAAAATGGATAAAACCGATATATTTAATACAATTTGGATAAAAAAGCTTGCATTTTTTATATAAAAAAAGCATTATATTTTACAAATAGTCAAAATAACATTAATATTTTGTTGACAAATGTTATGGAGCTTAAAGTTCCATCGGGTAGTAAGTTATTTAAGTTATAGGGATATGGCTTTAGCTGTTTTAAATATCTGTGAAAGCCTAGCAAGAAATTTCTCACTATAGTAATATATAATTGGGTTCAATAAAAAAGGTACTGAGGAAGAAAAAATTGTATAGACTTTATAAACTTCTCACCAATGTTGTGTTCGTTTAAACCTCTTTTAGAACTATAATGATTAATTTGTTACTAACTTTAAAATTACAAAATAATAATTCTTGTCATGTATTTATATATATTTTCAAAATATTATCTAGTTTAGTTGTCAATTTAACACGTTAAATGCCACTAGAATGTTCTTATGTTAAAATCAAGACAATTTTATTATGTTCCTAATTTTTTTGTATACTTTATACAGTAGAACCTCGATAACTCAAACTAAGTAACTTAAAAACCTCTATAACTTCAAAAAATATGTTCCCCTTCCCATCAGAGCCCAAAACCTCTACAACATAGACCCTTGATAACTTGAAGCTAACTAAAATATTCTGAGTTTCCCTTGGACTTTAACTTTTCGAGGTTCTACTGTAATTTCATACGTTTTATTTATCTGTCAAAACTGAAATATTACATTTTGTTATTTGTTCTAATTAATAAATAGAGACAATTATTTTTCAATGGTCTTGGCAGTTAAAGTGTTTTGTGTCACATTTTCTTTTTGGACAAATAATTATTTAAATATACTGCCAATGTTGCCTACTAAATGGGATATTGATAAAAAATATATTTGTTGCTTTTGCAAATGGCAAAATACTCTGTAATATACTGGTAATATTAAATAAATAACTGGTTGTTGAACGTTGGGAATATTTTCAATTTTTTCAATATAATTGTAATATTTGATAAACTTGGTACATTCCTATCGTGTTCTAGAACATTCTCGGTTTGTGTTCTAACGAAGCTCTCTTCTAGAAGGTTCTAATATGTAGTCAGTGTATATTCTGTATAACTTCTTTAGATCATGAACCTCTCGGTCTGGTGAGACTCGTTTGTATAAAATGTATTTAATAAATTATTAAATGATTTTTAATTTTGATTTTCATTTTCGCCACCTAAGCCATTTTACCTTTCACCAGCGAAACTGTCCGCGTGAAATAAAAAAACAAGAAGTAAGTAGCCCATGTGTTCTTCTATGCTATCTTCTACGTCTATGCCAAATTTCAACATGATCCGTTCAGCTGTTTAGGATAGCAACTCTAACATCCATCCATCTAAACTTTCACATTTATGTTAGTAAGATTTCTTGCCCAACGATCGATCGACCCATGGGGATTTTTTCCTATTGGGTCCTTCGTATGTATACAATCAACACAACGGGAAATACCCGTGAAAGACGTTAACACAGAGTACTTTGTAACATACTGAAATAGAGACCAATCTTCGGCCTAAAATTGGGTAACACGAAGAAAAGCGCCATCTGTATTTCATA